AAATGACCGGGTCTGATTAGACCTGGCCAGGCATGTTCATGTCTGATCAGATCTGTTCATGCCTGACTCGATTAGGTCCATAAAAAAAAAAAAAGATTGGTGCCGACGGGGATTCGAACCATGTACGTTGCGCTCTTCAGACTGATACTTTACCTTATTTTTTCTGGAGTGTAAACTTGGTTCAGAGTTATAAACGTCTATCTACATTTTTTACGCTTCTATAATCAGTGTATGATTGACATATCTGACTTCTGTAGTATGATTAAAGCTGTAAATATTAATCCTGTTAAAGAGAGGGAAGTTATTAATGCATTTTATGAGCAGGTTTTCGTCAAATAAAAATAAAATCAGCACAGGAAAAAACAAGTTAAGTAAATAATTCCCAAAATTTCAGTCTTGTTTCAAAATATTTACATCTCTTCATTAAAAAAAACATTAAACTTGAATTAATAAACTCTAACTCCTAAATAGAGATCGAAAAAATCTCGATTCAAGAACTTCATCTTTTTTAAAAATAAATTTTACGTAGACGTCCGGATATCACCCCATTTTGGATGTACCAATGATTACTCCCGAACAAATTGATATTTTGGGACCGGATCTTTTTTATTAGTTTAAGAAATCGATGAACTGGGTCCGTATTTCACATCAGTGGCCTAGTGTACGTTTTTTTTTTTTTTTTTGAATTTTTGATTAAAAAAAAAAATTTTTTTTGTTTCTTGCAACTCTAAATAAGGTAAAGTTAAGCAGATGCATAATATTCTAGTTTTGAGCATTAAAAAATCAAATGCACGACATGGAAATATTAAACAATAAATAAATTACAATAACTTTTTTTATTTTTTGAACGTAATCTTGAAGTCAGGCTTAACGTATGATATGATTCATTTTGTCATTTTCTTACTTCATTCAAAGCTGTTGAATGAAGTTGTTGAATAAGACTTATTGTCTTATTAACATGGAAATAATTTGAAATTAGAGATTGAGCAACATTAATGTGCAGAAATTTGTAAGTGAACAAGTATTCGAAAGAACGAAAAAAAAAGTTGAGATTCTCATCACATTATTTCTGATTTTTACTAGAAATTTATATCTTTTCAAGTTAATTGGCGTTAAAAATTGTGATTGAAGTAAAGAAACGGACGAAATATATCATGCGTTAAAAAAATAAGAAATTATATAATAAAAGAAATATTCTTCTGATCAAAATTTATCCAAATCGAAAGGGGTTGATTCCAACCATTGGTCGATTTGACATGGAATGACCCACAATATTATGTTTAAAAACAAAAAAATTATCATTCAGTTATATAAAAATTCATAATAAATAATTATCTTAAATTAAAACATAAAATCAATAAATATTAGTGTAAATATGTTAAAAATATTAGATTTAATAATAATTCATTGTTTATATAATGGAAAATGTAAATTGACAATTTAACCGATTAACCATTTAACCGGTTAATCAATTAACCGTTTAACTAATTTAACCGGCTAACTAGTTAATCGGTTAAATTGGTTTAACCGGTTAATTAGGATTAACCAGCTGGCCGATAAACTAATTAACCTGGTTAAATTTTTTGGCCGGTTAAGCCGGCCAAATTGTACAGCACTAGTATTTAACACTTCAGACATGAAGAGACATGAACAGGCATGGACAGGTCTGATCAGGTCTGAGCGTATCTAACGGTTCAGACATGAACAGACATGGACAGGTCTGATCAGGCCTAATTTCAGGCCTGATCATACCTGAACAGGCCTGATCAGGTCGGATTTCAAGTCTGATCAGATATGAACAGGTCTAATCAGTCCTGATCATTTTTTCCCGGGTAGTCAGAAATGTGCCGGGAAAAAATGATCAGACATGAACAGGCATGAGTCTTCAGGCCTGATCAGACATGAAAAATGACCATGCCTGATCAGGCATGAATCGACCTGATCAGGCCTGATCAGACATGGTCAGGTCTGAAAGCCCATTGTTACTTTTAATTAATTATTTTGCTTTATTTTATTGATATAGTATTTGATAGAGTCATACGCAATTCTCTATAATGAATTAAAATAAAAAAAAATGATTACATATAATTATACGGCTGTAACACCAGCAGTCACCCATCCAACTACTAATCACGCTCAATGCTGCTTAACTTTGGTGATATCCGTGCGCCTTGAAGTTCCCGCCTGCTGATAACTTTTAGATTTTCGTTAACGAAGCGCTGGGTTAATATTTGAAAATCTAAAAAATGCTCAATGAATAGTCAATTATTCCTGTTTTCTTTTTTCCGTGTAAAATTTTCAAAAAATCGTTTTTTTGGAATATTTTCTAAACGGTTGCACCGATCAATTTCAAAAACTATTCCACTCTTAAGTTTGAAAAACCACGTCGATTGCCACCAGTCCCGTCAAAATCGGTTGATTCGTTCGAGAGATATCGAAAACGAAAAATTTCGAGAAAAGTGTTTTTTCGGAATTACTTCGAAATTCCTCGTTCGATCGATTTAAACTTAAAGATCCGTTATGAGGTTTCAAAAACTGCGTCGAATGCCACCAACCGCGTAAAAATCGGTTCATTCATTCAAAAGTTATTGCGGTTTGAAAATTCAAAAAATAGTGTTTTATTAAACTTCTCGAAGAGCTCAAAAGCATAAAAAAGCTATCTCTTTGAGCTCGGAGAGCTCAAAAACAAAATAAGTGAAATGTTGAGCGTTTAGGTATGGAGTTAGCGGGAAGTTGCACGGATGGCCTTTAGGGTTAACCGCTTTAAATAATTTATCATTGTCATTTTTAATATCATCACTACTACATGCAAATTATTTTATTGGATAATGAGGGGACTATTTCTTGGATACTGTATTATTAGTTATTAATAATAAAAGAAGTTATTCATAAACTACTCGGGACAGATGCGCCAACTTTGTGCTTAGTCTTCAGCAGTCTTTAAAGTCGATGAACAGTTTCAATACTTCTACTGATTCTGAGAATTACCATTTTTAATAGTAATTATAAAGAAAAATTGGTAAAAGGAATAAGAGAAAAAGGGAATTGAAAAAATAATTCGAATAGGCTGAACAGGTAATCGAATCCGGAAGTTTTGGTGCCGCCCTTAGATACCCTTTAAGCTATCCAAGACAGTGTTTGGAATTACCATTCATCAACTAAAATAACTGAGGAATCATAAGATATAAGCAATAAAAAATATAAATAAAAACATGAATCAATAACAGTACATGAGGTATTTTTATGTCTTAAAAATTCTGAAAAAACACTTCCCAAATCGAGAATAATAATCACATGTCACAGTAATTTGAGTCGTTCAGAAAACTAGTTTTGAAACCTAATTCTAGTGAATTAGGTACTGATTTCTTCTGCTATAAAGTACTTAATTTGTTTAACTTGTGTTAATAATAACTTATGTTTTTAAATATTTAAATTAATTAATTATTTTATTTAAAGTTTGTAATACTAATTTGACATTAATTGAAATTTGAATGGAAACGTATAATAGTTTTTATATATTTTCAGATTCTAGATAAAATACACATTCATATTGAAGAAATTTTTATAATAAATTATTGCAAAACATTGTAAACTGTGTACGCACATTTAATGACCTAAAATAAGGAATTAAAATGAGTAAACAATTGGTTTATATGGTTAATATGCAAAAAACTTACTTTTGTAAATGACTCGAGAGATAAAATAATGAAAAAGCTGCTTGTAAATAAAACTGGCCGAAAAGTTTCACATAAAATAATTGTAAGTGATCTACGAAGGCTATTGCTCAAATTAAACCAATTAGTGTCATAGAGCGCAGTGGTCATGTCAAGAAACTAAAAATGAAAGAAAAGAAAATTGAATATTTTATAGAAATTATTTATTTAAAAATATATATATTACCTCTAGTGTAACTTGATTAGCGCAAAAGCACTGGAAAAATATTTGGAAATTCATTGCTATGAAGTAAAAGAAATTACCCGCGAAATTCATCGATGCGGCATTCATGTGTGAGAGTACGTATGCTACCGTGCATAATATCAATGAGCTCGCTGTATACTGGACGAATATCACTTTAGACCAGGTAGCGTTTATGTATTTAATTAAGCTGCAAGGAATCAATTCAACTGAATTCATGAAAATAATAAAAGAGGAATAATAAATAATAAATAATCATGCAAACTTAAGGACACTGATGTGGTGATCGACCCATTCCCCGACCATTCTACGTTCTGAAGACGCAATAACATCTTTGGGGTGAGTGTCGTAGATAACTTCCAGTTTTTTTATCATCATATCGAATCTGTATCTTAGAATGTGAACTTGCGCGCACATATGGCAGATAATGCATGGCAAGAGCGGATCAAACGCGAGATTTATGGACGCCGCACTGCATATCGCGTAGAGCTGGTAGATGGCCGTTATCCAGTAAATACCTGTCGAGTTGTAGCTGTAGGGAAACCATCCTCTGTATGGCAGAACTTGTGGAGGATCCATCAGAAATATATGACCTATTGAATACCATGTTATGGCCATGGTAAATAAAACTGGGTAGTATTTGAGGATGTATCTGGAAAATAAAGATATTGAATTTGATTACTTTCTCAAAGTTAAGAAATACTTAGAAAAGAATTTACCCAGTAAATCCATTGAAGCGTTTTACGATATTCTCTTCTTCTTGATTTTGAGGCTTGAAAGGACTGCGACCGAGGGTATCTATGATTTCTTTGATGTTTTTGCGATTTCCGATTGCACAGGCAGTTTTCTGTCGGATGGTAACGAGACTTAGAAGCAGTGAAATGTTATCGATGATGGCAGTGATGTCGACGTTGACAAACTCTAAGTCCATGATCCCCGAGAAAAGAAATGAAATGTTCGCGAAAATGACGATTGTCGTGTAAAAATGATAAAGAACGGATTTAACTCCAGTCCATCCGCGGGGTTTCCAAAGTCCGACTAGGGTGAGCACAAAGAAATTGGTGGTAAGTATTTCCATTGTAATTTTAAGTTAACGTTCTAAATAGTCGACGCCAGAATGACTAGTACAAAACCCATTGTCTTCAGTTTTAGAGTTTCGTCGAGGCAAATTTGAATAATTTGTCGTTCTTCCCATTACTGTTACTATTATGCAAATTGCGTAATTCTGTAATGAGGGGCTATATGATGAATATTGCAATCAGTAAGTTAATAATATATGAGATTGTCAATAGACTACGCGGAACAAATGCGTCAACTTGGAGTTCGGTCGGCAGTCGTCTTCGAAGTTCACATAAAGTTGGAATATAGTTATTAATTCTAAGGGTTGCATTGTCTGAGAAAACAGCACACCAAGCAAGGTTAAATAGAAAAATCAATAAATTCTATTAAGTTAAAAATTTCGATTGTTATTCAATTCTTTTAACAACTGTTTTTAATTTTTTAATTTTTCTATTTTCTAGAGTCATCGAGAAAAGTTTAAAAAAGTCTTGATTGAAGAAATTACAATGCACTCTATAATAATGAGTTTTGGTGGATGTTCTAAAAAAAAATTGTGATCATATGTACAATATAAATTTCAGTAAAGTAAATTTTTTTTATTACAATAATATTGATTAAGGAGTTACACGCATCTAGAATTAAAAAAAATGAATTTTTTTGTAATTTCATTTTTATAATGTAAAAACATGGGTCATTCCACCAAATAAAATCATGGTTACTCATCAGCAATCCCCGCTAATCAATTTAAGATTTTGTTGAAATGTTCTCTGTATGAAAATAAAAATTCCCTGAGAATTTGGGCCCTTAATATAAAATCTTTTCGAAATGATGATTTTTTTCATTTCGTCAACTTTCAATGTTTTTATTTTTTCAGTAATTTTTATCGAGCAGAAACATATATGTCTGCATGATAAAGAATATTTTTATTAAATTTCATTTCTGTAGAAAATGTATTTTAAAAATATGAATATTTTACTATTTTATACAATTACCACTCTCAGAATGTCTTAGAATTGAAATTTCGTAAAAACTGGCTTGTTAACTGATTCTCCATGAGAAATAAATAATTCCTACCAAATTTTAAGTCCATAGAAGATACGGTTTCAAAATAGGAATATAAGAGCAATATGAATAATCCTGCTGTTCCAAGTCTCCAGATCATAAGGTTTCAGAGATTTTGTGATAATGAGTCTCTCCGTAGGTGGAAATCTCTTATATACCCAGGAAAAAATGATCAGATCTGATCAGATATGAACAGGCATGAGTCTTCAGGTCTGATCAGATATGAAAAATGACCGGGTCTGATCAGACCTGGCCAGGCATGTTCATGTCTGATCAGATCTGTTCATGTCTGACTCGATCAGGTAAATAAAAAAAAAAAGATTGGTGCCGACGGAGATTCGAACTTTATTTAAAAATGACTTCTATGTTATTATCAAGCAATTATGACCTGTAATTTATTATTTTGTATTAATATACAAATTTTAACCGTAATAAATTGATAATAATAATAATTAATATATGGGGTCATTTCATACAAAATCACCAGATTTGGAAAATCATATTTTTTTATTTAACTGAAATTTTGAGATCCTTTTGTAGGTGTCAAAAGACGTTTACCTATAAATTTTTAGTCCTTAATTTCCTTAAGTTTTTAGTTATAAATTTTTGAAAATTGGAAAAAAAACAGTGATAGTCAAGAGCAAAAAATTCACAACTCGTGATTAATTATAATTACAAATGTAAGTAAACTTTTCTTTATTTTCTTTAATTTATTGTAAATACGAACGGCCAGGGTTAAGCTTAAGGTTTTCCATTGTTATAAGAATTAAAGATTAACTTTAATTTCCTTTATCATGATTTTATTCTAAGTTCATAAAAAATCAACATTACATCTTTTTGTTTTTATAAATGAAATTAAATACTTCTCAACTTTATAGCTTATGGTAGAAACCAATGTTTAACGTAATATTACTTGCATAAAGTTAATTAAATTTTTGTAAATTGAAATAGATACAGAAGATAAATTTTCTATACAATAGTGCTGAATACAACAAATCCATTAATAATTATTATACATTCGAAATATAAGAAAGAAAGAAAAAATAATTACTAATATAAAATCTAAATTAAATCTGTAATAAATAAATTATATTATAACTATCCAATTAAGCCATTTAATTAAATATGATTTCACAATAAAAGTTATCACTTTTTCAACTAAAATCATTGAACCCTACTATTTTTTTAAAATACATATATTCTTTAAACCAGTATACAAAATAGATCATCAATATTATTACGTAGCATATGAAAAATTTATGAAATGAATACAATGATAGATTAAACACTTTTTACAAATACTTTGAAAAAAAAAAAATAAGTTTCATTGGTGGTAAAGTAAAAATTGAAAATATTGCTCCTCTGTATAATATGAGTAAATATTTCATGGGTAGCTTAGCTGATTGTTAATTGTTTAACCCTTCGACCGTTTTGGGTGTTCTTCCACTTAGCGACCCGTCAACAGCCATAAGAAGTTTTCACGCTGGTGCCGCAAGTATGGTTTCGTTCAACTTAGTGGTTAAAAAATTAAAGCTCTGCGTTGACATATTTTCATAGTTAAAATGTATTTTAGAGTTTTAAAATTTAATTGTTTTTTATTAAATTAATATAAAAATTGGTAGAAATTATCAGTTAATTATTTAAAGAAATTACTCAATGCTTTGCAATTGCCTTGTAATTTTACAACCAAATAAAAACATTATTATTATCAGCATCATCATCATCATCATCACCATTATTATTGTTATTATAATTATAATTATTATTATTATTATCATCGTCATTAATTATTATTAGTAGTAGTAGTAGTAGTCGTAATAATAGTGATTACAGTAGTATTACTATTATTATTAATAATAATACTTGAATGATTCACTAGAAGTCCAAACTTTCTTTTAAAGGTATTTTAGCGACCTCGAAGAATATCCTTAAAAAAAAAAAAAAAAAAAAAAAAAAAAAAAAAAAAAAAAAAAGTCAAATTATTAAAATAAAATAATTCAAATAATTTTAAGAAAACTTATTAAGATATAAAGTAGTGTTCTAATAACGATTTTTCAAAGTAACGACTCTTTTAAGAATGAAAGATGCTTTCGTTGTTAGTGCATTAACTTTTTACCAAAATCAATAAAAATATTAACACTAAAAATTGTCATTAAATTGCAGTAAAAAACTTCAATCTACTTCCTATTAGTATGTGAACTCACTGAACTGTCCAAAGAAGCTCTTAAGGAGAAAATTTATGAATTTTTTAAGTACTAACATTCTCTAGTCGATAAAAAATAACAGTGCAGATGTACTTTTAACAGTTCTATTTTTACATCTAATTTATTCATATAGGCGGACGTATTATTGTTAACTAACATCATTTTTAACCTATTACAAAATTCCTATCTGCTATTTCATTCGCGCCAAATTTTTTAACATTTTCTGATAAAAGATTTCAATCTTTATTTGGTGTGTTCGGGCCTCCCGTCCGGCGCTTTATCATTGTTTTTTTTTTTTTACTCAGAAAAATTCTAATTAGAAATTCAAAGTTATGAAATTAGACAAATACCCACAATTACACAGGTATCACCAGCGGAATTCAAATTTGACAACTGAACTTAATGAATATAAATTATAGCAAGACATAACACTCAAAAACAACTTGAAAAAGCTAATAATGTTTCCAATTTCTTTAGGAATTTTCGACAGGCTATATTTAAGTGAGGAATAACCTATCGAGATTTTAAAATATGGATTAAACTCAAAAATGTTTGTTTTTTGAACTAAAAAATACAACTTTAGTACATTTTCGAGCTCGAAAATCTAATATTTGTGTTGGAAAAAAAATTTTTTTTTTGAGTTGCGATATCTCCCGAACGAATTTACTGATTTTGAAGCATTTTGTGGCATTTAATGTAGATACACTAAAAAAATAACACTTTTCTTTAAATGGATGGAATTAAGCAATAACGTCTTAACCAACATTTTTAAAAAAATCGAGTTATTATGATGAACTAAGTAATCTTATGATACTAAGTACGTTCATCATAATAACTCGATTTTTTTTTAAATGTTGGTTAAGACGTTATTGCTTAATTCCATCCAAATAGGATCTGACGTAAAATTTTACAGTGATCCCTGAATAAAAAAAAGTATTGAAACAAAGGAAAAAGTATTGAAAAGTATTGGATTAACTAGAAGACCAATACTTTTCAATATTTTTTTCTTTGTCTTAATACTTTTTTTTTATCAAGGATGTATAAGAAACTTTTTTCGAATTCTTTTGACAACGATATTTCTTGAACGAATCAATCGATTTTCATTCGGATTGCGGCATTTAACGCAGTTTTCTTGAGTACAACAAAATTATTCATTATTTGCAAAATGATAGGACAAGAAATTTCAACGTTTCGTAAGAAAAAAAACATTTGCAACGTTAGCATTGACACAATCCAGCATTGTCCGAGATTATTAATGATTGCACGGAATCTAATCAAGCAATCATATTATAATTAGAGCAACTAATTAGCAGGAAATTCGACACCATAAACAAATTTTGATGCTTGTATAATGATAAAGTAATTGATCGTCAATGCTGGACAAGTCAATGCCAGCTTTACAGACGTGAAAAAAAAAACTTTTTTCAAAATTTTTGGACAAATCGACTGATTTTGATGTAATTTGCGGCAATCGATGTTGTTTCTGTTGGTTAAAAGTTGATTAGATTATGGGAATTGTAACAGTTTTTGGATGCTGCACAATTGCCCCCTTTATTAATTAACATAAAAACAATGAACTAATAAATGAAATTAAAAAAAGAAGCCATTCGGCCATACCCGAAATGGAAGGTAGATTTCATAGAATGAATTTTCATCTTGTCTCAATAACTTTCGTTTGACATGGAATGAAATTTATTCTAACATACATAAGTAGGTTGTATTACACGTTGCCTGAAAATGGTTCAATTAAACTCTTAACTTCGATAAAATAACTAATAATAGTCAAAAAGTTAACGTTATATACGTCAAATTAGAAGTGATTTTATGAGTTTTGACATAAATTTATCAAAAGTCAGCTATCTTTTTGCTATTAAAAGTTATACACAAATAAAGTCACCAAAAACGTAATTTTTACTATTTTGATAATTTTGAAAAGCTACTATTTCTGAACTAACCGAAGGATTTTGCTCATTTTAAGGCTCATGTAAGCTAATTGTCTAAAGAATTTGTATACTAAATTTCATTGGGATCTGTTACGAATTCTCGAGAGAATAACGTTAATAAGTCGGCTGCACTACACATTGCCTGAAAATGGTTCAATAGAACTCTTAACTTTGATAAAATAACTAAAAATGGTAAAAATGTCAATGTTATATACGCCAAATTAAAGGCAATTTCATAAGCTTTTACATGAATTCAATAAAAATTAGCCATCTCTTTTCAACCAAAAGTTATTCATCAATGAAGTCACCGAAAACGTGATTTTCACTATTTTGATAATTTTGAAGAGCTGCCATTTCTAAACTTATGGATGGATTTTGCTCATCTTCGAACTCATTCAAGGTTATTATCCAAAGAATATGTGTAACATATTTCATCTAGATCCGTCAAGAACTGTAGACACAATCGCGGCAACACCCCGCGTTATATTGCATATGTATATATATATATATATATATATATATATTTGAGCTTCACTCGACTAGTTAAATGATATTACGACAAAATTCTAAGTAAATTCCGACATAAGAACCAATGCAAAAGATTGATTTCTATGAAATCTACCTAAAAACCAAATTAATTAAAAGGGCGCCACCAGGTTTATTATCACGTTTCCTGGAACCGGTCCAGAGCAGAGAGCTTATTATCTAGGGTTAGAGAGAGTGGAGGAAGGTGCTGTTAATTAATCATTTATTATTTCAACAGCACCTTCCTCCACTCTCTCTAACCCTAGACGATAAGCTCTCTGCTCTGGACCGGTTCCAGGAACCGTGATAATAAACCTGATGGCACCCTTTTAATTAATTTGGATTTTTTTTATTTCATTTAGTAGTTCATTGCTTTTATATTAATTAACCCGTCAGCACTCACGTTATGAGCATTTTGCTCACGCAACAACATCCGACTTATAGAGCGGCGCTGTAGTGCAAGTGAGACACTAAAATTCACGTGAGTTCTGACGGGTAAATAAAGGGGCCAATTGTGCAGCATAAAACACCGTTACAGAACAAACGGTATAGTAGTTTAAAAGTTAATCTAAAATAAAAATATTTTAAAAGCCGCGTTTCGAACGATTTACATACACTCACACATATAAATTAAATGATCTATTTTTTTTTTCCTAAAAAATTTCTTTTTCTTTGTTCCGGATTTTATTGTCCATCAATTTGAAACAAAAAAATAATGATTTTTTATCTTAACATTGATGATAAAAACAATTTATTCCTCATAAATCTTGAAAGCATCTTGTAAAATATATATATTTCAGTTTCTGAATTGCCCTTTAATTTGCTGTACGACACCAGCTGTTAAAGTATCAATGGTTAAAAACAAAAAGATGTTTTTTATTCAAAGCCAAAGATATCTCGCTAAAATTTTTCTAAGCCCGTGGTACGAACAAAATTTTTAAATATGTTTTTTACTCTATATCCTAAAATTGCGTGAAAATTGAAGCTTTTAAAAATTTTTAATTTTTTAGTTTCACAATTCACTCTTTGAAATCTCGATACGGTTATTCCCTACTTGAATACAGCCTGTCAAAAATCACTAAAGACATCGGAAATTTTATTTGCTTTCTCAATTTTTGAGTAGTGTCTTTCTGATATAATTTCTATTCATTATGTTCAGTTTTCAAATTTGAATTCCAGTGATTACACCTTTGTAATTGTGTGTACTCATTTTATAACTTTTAATTAACTTTCAACTTAAATTTTTTCTGGTAAAAAGAATGGCGGGGTGCCGGCGCAGGGGATTACACACCATTCAAGTCGTAATAGTAACTCATCAGGCAGCCACATGTATTACAATTATCCACAGGTTCGGTAGAATCTGGCGCCAAGTTCCGTTCAAATCTCCGTTGATAGAGAGTCAGAACTACTGAATTTGTAGATTCTTACAGAGTCCATGTGTGCACCCGTTGCCGTCATTTGTAATAAACTGTCACTGCTCATGAGGATGTTCATCTTACAGAATCATTCTTATTCCCAAAAAAAATTCAAATGACTACAAAAATAAATTGTAAAGAGATTTTCTGAGATTACTTTGTATTATTATTTTAGTATTTTTACTGTTTAAACTTTACTTGATACTATTTGACAAATTTAGTAAGACATGAGCATTTAAGGGGGTATTCTGGTCTATAAATTTGAAAAAATCGATTTTTTTTGCATATTTTCAAAATTTAGACCTTTAAGAATATGTCCTTAAATGGATTTTTCAAAATTCGAATTATTTTAGGAGATACAGTGGATTTTGTGATGCGGATGGTTCGTTAAGCTGGTGTAAATGGCAACAAGCCGCAGCTGAGAACACTCTTGAAAGCTTTGTCCATGAACATCCCCCTCTGGATGAAAAAGTATTCAAAGTAATTGAGCCCATTTATACAAGCTTATCGTCTGATGATTTATTACATCAACGTTTGGGGTCCGAAACTCAAAATAATAATGAATCACTCAATTCATTGATGTGAACTTTTCCTCCAAAACATATTCACGCTGGAACTCAGACAATTGAAATTGCTACTTATTTAGCTGTTGTCATTTTTAATGAAGGTTATTTACCGATCTTAAAAATAATGGATCTTATGGGCATCACCATTGGTTCTGAAGCTCATACATTTGCTGTCAGACGTAACGAAGTTCGAATTGATCGCTGTGAACTGCGAGCTTCTGCTGTTTCAAAAAAAGGCAGAATAGCTCGGTTAGCAGAAAAAACTTCGCAAGAAATTGCATATGAAGTAGAAGAAGGCCCTATGTATGGATTTGGGATCACCGATTAATCTTAAGTGAGTATTAAATATTACTATCCGAGTTATTCTACTAGAATTGTTTCTCAAACTTCAAGCGTGATTTTCTCGAAACTACTTTTTTTGAAGTGGTAACTGATTTTGAAGTAGTTTTGATTTTTCTTTTGACAATTTTTTTTATATTCTTGAAATGTCAATAAATATCATTTAAAAAAATGGATGGTAAAAATGTGTTCCATTTTTTTTATCTTAGTTTGAAAAATGTCTAAAATTTAGGCTTCTAAACCAGAATACCCCCTTCAGGCATACACATTTGGATCTACCGAACTTTTTGATAAAATATTAATAGATACTATTTACTAACATTAGATGATACTTTTTTAAGCATGAGTTATAGGAAGATATGGTATATCTAAAAATTACACTATAAAAATTTTGATAAGCCATCAATAATTTGTCAATTTTCCATTTTACTTATTATGTGTATAACATAAGAAGTTAAGTTTTGATTTAAGTGTTTCTAATCTAATATATTTCAAGTCTAATACATTTGATACTAGAACTATCGTCATTTCCTTACTGTAACTATCAAAAACTAATACCTTCACAATATAACCAAGAACTAATAACTCTATTGAATAGTATTGAAACAATTAATAAAAAATCAAAAACTGCAAGCCAGGTAAAAAAGAATAGGAGAAACTATTTTTATACTATACTCAAAGACATTTGATTTCGATGCAGACTCGCGAGCGCAAGCAGCGGGTGGCACAATTCATGTTACCAAAATTACGAAAACTTTTTATCGAAAAATAAATACATCAATAGTTCACCACCGACATTTTAGATCGTTTTACCGCACTATTTCTGAATAACTAATTTTTGAAATTGCTTCTTTTACACATAAAGGTATGGAAAGCCGATAAAGTTAGTATGAAATCTTTCGTACCGCAAGAGTGACGTAACTAGATTTAGTAAAATATGAATTGCGTGACCTAACTACTTTAAAGAAACTTTTTAAACAAAGAATAATCGTTTTGAAAATAAAAAAAGTTTTTCGTTATTTTTTTGAGAAATCGAATTTTTTTGATGAGCGAAGACTCTTATTGAGATTTTTTTTTTTTTTAATAGGAAAGATTTTTTGTTTTTCTATGAATAATTGGTTTTTAAGGTAGAGCAGAAGAAAAATAATTTTTTCAGTATGAACTTACTTGTGACTGTATTTATTGCGAACAGTCGATAGAGCATCTTTATTTTTCTTATGGAGACCTTGGTTAAGTAAATTTACTATATGCTTGATGTCATCAATTGTGTATCCAGTATAGTATTCTAAAGTTGGAGTCCATCCACCAAGATCTTTCATTTGGAGAGCAAGGAAAAGAGCAGCAGAAGCTAGCTTGCTATCACTGAACATTATTGTTGCATAATCCATTAATGAATATTCCAAAATATAACGAGCTAGTGTTAAAGTTGGCATTGATATTTTTATGCACTAAAAAGACAAAAAAATTAATAGTATTAACACCCGGTCTCTACGATTGCAGCTTTATATTTCATTCCTAGACAAAGAAGAATTTTGAAAAATTCTACTACGTAATGAATTTTGTAATTATCTATTTCGTAGCAGAGCGAGTTTTTCGAAAATCTTATTTGTTTAAAAGAAAAACATAAAACTGCAATAGCTTTATAATCATCAGTGCACCAAGGATAGTACCGTTTCTCGCAGTGAGTGCGACGCGAGAAAAAGAGGGGATCGGCTGTTAATACTTAAGATATTTTGTATTATAAAATTCTTCCGAACTATATTTTTAATTATACATAAATACTTCAAAAAGAATTTATATAATTTAAAAAAAAATTCTTAAATTCTTAAAAAAAAACAACAGAAAAACTGTGAGAAATTTTCAATATGAATTAAAAATTATGTCCACTTGAATGTAATAAAAAATAAAAATGACATAAGTCAATAACGAAAACAGAAAGAAACAGAGTATTCTAAAATAATAAATAAAAAACAATTACTCTTGCATATCGTCGAAGAAATCGGTAGGATAATGGAATCCCCAAATCAAAATCGACTATTTTTAGGACATTCATCTCCATTCTAATCAGTTCACGTTGACTGTAAGCACCGTCACATATGTATAAAAAATCCTCAATCATTGGTGGGATTCTTTCCTGCAAAATAAAAATCAATTTATTTTTTCATGAACTAAATACCATTAAACGATTAAAATAGATTACTTACGTCGAATTTACTAGCAATAAATAAACTAGCTGCTCCTAACAATTGTAAAGTTTCTTTTCCTACAGTTACCTTAGTCAAATATAAGTCGACTAATTTAATAGCTAAATATAAAGTTTCATGATTCAACTCAAATGATTCTTGAACTTCAACCATCCAATCAACTAATAAAGACCTCATCCATCGTGATAGACAAACTTGTTTTTCCATATAATCACCAATAAGAAAATTTCTTTCTCGGCTTTTAAGGTATTCAAATATCTCCATTGCATACTGCGATACTTGGTAAGGATCACGCCAATTTTCAACATCAAAGTCCCATAAAACACCAGGAGGTAACTGTCGAACTGGTGTTTTATCTAAATATTCAACACTTTGTTTGGCTGGAGTGTTGACAGAAGTTCTTTTAGATTTACCTATTTTTTGAATTATAGTTTCTTCTTCAATCTAAAAATTATCATGAATTAAAGGATCTATTAATTTTTACACTTTAAGATAATTTAACTTACTCTATCGATATTTAGTTCTATTTTTTTGTCATTTCCTTGAGATAAATCTTCTAGTGCACTAACATACAAAGAACTATCGTTCGATTTTTCTACATCAATTGGTTTTTGATTTTCACTTTTTTGTGGAATGCCTTTTTTTACTTCCAATTTTTTAGTAGTCCTTGTAACTTTGCTGACATTTTTTAATTTTGATGAGGGCTTGTCAATTACAGCAATGGGCTTTACAATAACTTTTTCAGTATTCCTAAGTGTATATGTGGAACTAACCGGTTTGGCTTGTGTTTTTTTTACCACTTTTTTTGGATCAGCCAATTGAACACCTAATGATTTTCCAATAGCCTAAAAAAATAATATTTCAATTAGCAACTCAAATTTAATGAAAATATCATAATTAAAAACAAATACTTACATTTGTAATATTTCCGAGGGCTGACCTCTTAATCATTTTGTCTTTGAGAGGTGATGCGTCTGCTTTTCGTTTAAACCTCAAATCTTTAGCAGTCACGAGCGGTTTTATATTCATTTGATCAGCTGCTTTTTGATTTCTTGTAGTAATACTTTTTTTTACTGCGTTAACCATCATGACGGGTTTATTTTGGCTATTAATCGCTTTAGATGGTGCCATCTTCTACTTGAAACCGATTTTATTTTCAACAGTATCAATACTGAATCCTAAAATGTAACTTTTAGTGTCATGAGTCCATAAAGAGATAATTATTCATTTTATTTAATTATAAAAAAAATTGAATAACAAAAAAGTAGGATATAATAGTACAAATTATGAGATTGAAATCAGTGAAAATTATTTTTTTTTTTTAGTTGTATTTATAAAATAAATAAGCAAGTAAGTACTAAAAAATTACTTTTAAAAAAGATTGAGTCATTGTTTTTTGAAATTCATACAGATGGATTTTTTAAAAATTTTATAGTACTAATTTATTTGTTAAATAAATCATTGGTGTGAATTTAGCGGACAGCTAATAATTGAAAAATTTTTATTATTTTCAAGCTTGATTATTATCATTAAGAAAAAATCTAAACAATTACACAAACCAATTATGAACGATTACTAAAACCATTATTTATGTTGTTTTTTTTTTTGTAATGAATTAATTGCTATAAATATTTAAAGAATTGTTAGACGTCTCTGCATCCATGCTCATAAAAAATCATGATACTGAAATCAGCAGATATCGTAAAATTTTTTTTAATTTTATTCAAAAACAAAAAAGTTGTACTTGAAAAATATTTCTTTAAAATTGTGAGTAGTTGTCTTTAATATTCAAGTGCAAATTGAAAAAAAACTCTTTTTAAAATAATACGTTTGTTTAAAAAATCCAAAAGATCACAAATCTGTTAATTTCAGATCGTAAAAAATCCTAAAATTTTTCAGATGTTTTTCGGTATGATTGCAAATTACAGTCCAAGAATAACGCATAAATTAACTAGATATGATTGTTTTGATTAAAATAATCCATAATCCATCTTTGCCACGCATAAAGAAAATATTAATAATACTTACTCTTAATCACCTGCATGTATGAGATTATTTGATCACAGTTATAGCGAGTAAATAATAAGTATAGTTAGACGAAAATTCTAATGAACTCAAGCCGGTATTCAAAGTGGATGTAAGGTTAAGAAAATATCTTATATATTATGAATTGTAAATTTTGTATAAAGATTTAAATGAAGTAATTGTCCATTCATCTTTTAGTTAATATTAAAAATTTATACGACGATTTTAAATGAATTGACAATTTTCATACTAACAAGTATTGTAAACAACGCTAACATGTACTTATAGTATTATGAAATAGATTACGTTACTTGAGAAAAAACGCGGGAACAGTCATGTTGAAGATTAATGCTCCAATTTTAATAAAAGATGAATAAACCATGTGATAAATAAATCTCAAAATTTCAAAACTGAAAATAGTCAATCAAAAATAACTGAAATTTTGAGCAATACTTGTTAATTATTTGAACTTTTATACTTTAAAGATTGAGTATAAATATCATAAGTAACTTTGGTAAGCTCCAACAAAATAATTTCATGAATTAAATAGTCACCTGCTTGTTTTGGAGTAAACGTAATCAGACGCACCAGCTCAATGTCGATTATATAAATAGAAAGTTTTTACAATGCGTTTTATCTTATTTAGTCCGAAAATTTATTGGTAACTGATACTTGTTAATATAAATAATACCATTTTTTTAATTTCTTTTTCTCTTTTTCATCTGACGAAAAAGAACTTCCGACCACTACTAACTGCCAAATGCATGCTGGGAGAATCAACAGTTCTTTTTCGACGCTTGCAGCGCTCAACCTACCCTACAGAAGAATTTAGTAATTAATTTGTTATGTCCGATGATATGATAGGTGTCGTTAATGCACTACGCGGCAAATTCACTATAATTTGAATTATTTAATTTAATTTATAATAAATTATAAACAATGCATTTTGTTATATAGAACTCAAAAAATTTTTATAGCACATAAATTCAAGTATAGTAATCTCTTTCAACAAACAATGAACAAAACTAACTTTGTCAACAAAAAGTACAAACAAGCTTGCTCATGTTACTTGACAACTAAACCTTTGTTAAAAAAGTTAAAAACTAGAAATTCCATCTGTGATGGCATTCCTGTCGTTAGTTTCTTAATTTCAAATACGGGTTTAAAAGCGCACGTCAGTTTCGACGCTCGACTGCTGCGGAATAGTGAATAGTGGAATGAAAATAGTTATTGTCAAGGTCAATAGATTGTACTGCCTCCTTTTGGATAGGGTGTGAGTTGTAGTAATGCGGAATTACATTTAAACCTGGTATTATTTATTTATATGATATTTATTTATTTATATGATATTGAAATTTGCAGACACTTGACAATTTTTTGATTTTTCTTGAATAATAAACTAGGTTTAGAAAATTATCTTTAAAAAATTGCATTTTTTATTTTGCGCGACTCATGATGCGAAGCATCAGAGAGTGCTTTACGATCGAAAAATTTTTTTCGCCTCATTTTGGCAGCTATTTTTATTATTATAGCCTTGTTAGTTCACGGAATCAAGATATTTTGCATACTATTGTCGAGATAATTTAATGGAGATTAATTCCATACTTTTTAAAACAGAGATGAACAGACATGAACAGGCATGGACAGGTCTGATCAGACATGGACAGGTCTGCTCAGGCCTGAGCGTATTTAACACTTCAGACATGAACAGGCATGGACAGGTCTGATCAGGTCTGGTCAGGCTTGAGCGAATTTAATACTTCAGACATGAACAGGCATGGACAGGTCTGATCAGGCATGGACAGGCCTGGTCAGGCCTGAGCATATTTAGCACTTCAGACATGAACAGGTCTGATCAGGCCTGGTCAGGCCTGAGCGTATTTAACCCTTCAGACATGAACAGGCATGGACAGGTCTGATCAGGCATGGACAGGCTTGCTCAGGCCTGAGCGTATTTAACACTTCAAACATGAACAGGTCTGATCAGGCCTGGTCAGGCTTGAGCGAATTTAATACTTCAGATATGAACAGGCATGGACAGGTCTGATCAGACATGGACAGGCCTGCTCAGGCCTGAGCGTATTTAACACTTCAAACATGAACAGGTCTGATCAGGCCTGGTCAGGCCTGAGCGTATTTAACCCTTCAGACATGAACAGGCATGGACAGGTCTGATCAGGCATGGACAGGCCTGCTCAGGCCTGAGCGTATTTAACACTTCAAACATGAACAGGCATGGACAGGTCTGATCAGGCATGGACAGGCCTGGTCAGGCCTGAGCATATTTAGCACTTCAGACATGAATAGGCCTGATAAGGCATGATCATGTCTAATTTCAGGCCTGGTCATACATGAACAGGCCTTATCAGGTCTAATTTCAGGGCTGATCAGACATGAACAGGCATGGTCAGGTCTGATCATTTTTTCCTGGGCAGTTCACAGTAAAGAATATGACGTCCGTAAAAGTTCTTTTGGAACTCTTATTTAAGATTTGGATGTCTTAATTTGGATCAAAATAATCTCTTTAAGACGGCTTCGGGATATTGTATGCACCACCACATCAAAATTTCTTAATTAAAAGCGATCTTTTTTCTGATCAGAAAAAAGAATTCTTACGGAAGTCAGAATTAAGAGCTCTTTTTGACTAGACAGATTTTTAACTTCCCGCTAAGAAAATCGAAGATTTTCAAAAAATCGGGAAGTTATTGGTTTTACCCCGTTTTGCAAAAATTGAGGTTTTAACAGATCTCGACGTTTTGAAGCCCTAAGAAGCTGTCGTGACTATTTTTACGATGATGATGATGATGATGATGATGTGTGTGTGTGTGTGTGTGTGTGTGTGTGTGTGTGTGTGTGTGTGTGTGTGTGTGTGTGTGTGTGTGTGTAAACTTTTTATAACTTCTGAACGGCTTGACCGATTCGGATCGGTAGATTTCGAGAAATTGCAAAAAAAGTGAAAAAAAAAGTTGTTTTTGTTTCACTTTTTCAAAATATCTCCGAATTTTGGCTGAACCGATCGACCTCAAAAACTAATCAGCTCTTAACCTTGAAAACCCGCATCGATCGCCACCGCAAGTGCGTCAGAATCGGTTGATGCGTTCGTGAGATATCGTTGTCGAAAAAAATCGAAAAAGGAGTTTTTTTGTAATAACTCCGAAATGTTTCATCAGGTCAATTTTTCTGTTTCAAATTATTTATAGAGCTCAAAAAACTACATCGACCGTCGCCAACCACGTGAAAATCGGTTGATTCATTCAAAAATTATAGCAGTTTGAAAATTAACAAAATCGTGTTTCATTGAACTTTGATAAGATTTTTGAGCTCGAAGAGCTCAAAAGCATAGGAAAGCTACCTCTTTAAGCTCGGAGAGCTCAAAATAACACATATCATATTTTTGAGCTCGAAGAGCTCAAAAACATCATAAGTGCAATTTTAAACGCCTAGGTATGGAATAAACGGGAAGTTGCAGGGATGGCCTTTAGGGTAAATCTTTTTCCTATTTTTTTTTACTTCAAAAGTCTTCATTTTTTATTTTAATACATAATGCTTCCAAAAGAACTCTTCTCTTTTTGGTTCGTGGTCTCATCGTGTTGGCCATGACTCTCGACAGGTTGGATACTGTCTTGTTTGCTTTCGTGCATGCGTTTTCGAGGTGTTCTCGGAAAAACAGCTTTTTGTCTATCACTACTCCCAAATAACGCAGTGCCTTTTTTGACGTCAATATTGTCCCGCTTATGTCCACGGCGAAAGGTTTTGGGAACCATTTTTGTTATGGAGGGTAGAAGTACTTCTACCCTCCATAATTTTTGTCAATCACTGCCGGGCCGGTCAAAATCGGTCGATTCATTCGTGAGTTATCGTCGTCGAAAAAATTCGAAAAAAGTAAATTTTTCAAATTTCTCCAAAATTTTGGTCTGATCAATTTGTGTTTGAAAGTAAATCATAGGATTCAAAAAACTGCATCGAATGCTACCAACCGCGTGAAAATCGGTTTATTCATTCAAAAGTAATTGCAGTTAGAAAATTTAAAAGATAGTGTTTTATTAAACTTCTATCAGCTCGAAGTGCTCAAAAGTATAGAACAACTAACTCTTTGAGCTCGGAGAGCTCAAAATAACACATAGATTTTATTTTTGAGTTCGGAGAGCTTAAAAATGTCGTAAGTGCAATTTTAAGCGTTTAGGTATGGAATTAGCGGGAAGTAGTTGCAGGGATGGCCTTTTTGGGGTCAATCGTTTTCCTAATTTTTTATTGTATTTTAAGTATTACTTTACTTTTTTTTTTATTTTTGTTTTATTTATTTTTTCATTTCAAATATCGCATGGTGTTTTAAACTGATGATGCGAACTGAGTATATATGCGCCAGCAGTTATTAGTTGTCATGCACTTTGGTAAGACATGCGCATTTACTGATATAGATACAAGCACTCATGTATATTTTTTATTTATTTTGGTTTTTCATTAATAACGATTAAACATCACTAAATAAGATGACCATTTTCAATACCAATCTTCACAAAGTGGATCTCAAGCTAATAAAAAAAAAAAAAAAACTGATCGAATTTGCGAATTTTTAAGCAAGTTACCGTGTTTCAAACGGAAAAAAGTATTGGTTGACAGGAATTTTCTTTTGACTATTTTGATATTTTTTCCTGGATCTATTATCTTAAATTGATTTTTATCAGTGACAGGATTCATCTCCATTAAATTATCTACCCAATGATGCGCAAATTAATTAGACTACGTGGATTACTAATCGTGTAATTAATTAAATAGTTGAGAAATCGAAGCAAAACAAATTACTCAAATTTCTAGTAAAGTAAAAAAATGAATACAGAGCAAAATAAATTGATTTAAAAGCTATTAATTGCTTTAATTCTTGAATTTTATCATTTTTTAATAATTACTTGCAAAAAATTTTTCTTAGTCCAAAATTTTGATGTCTTACGAAGTCAGAAAGAAGACCCCTTAGAAAGTTCATATCCTTGACGTTTTACTGCATAGTAAAAAAAAATCTCTTATAAAGAGCTCATATGTTTTAAATTTTCCGAAATTAGAAAAAAAGACTTCGTGAAGACTTCTTCATTGAGAATTTTCAAAAATGAGGTTGTTAAGATGTAATATTTGATAAAAACTATAACTACGTCAAAAAGCTTGAAAGATTTATTATTTTAAAACATCTATTTTCTGTTTTATGAGTAAAATATTTCATTTGCAAAAAATTACTAAAAAAACAAAATAATTGCAAATCATTAAAATTTGAAATACAATTTTTTTTAAATGACTTGACATTTCACAAAAGCTAAAATTTTTAGTAAATTTTTTAAAGATCGTCAGGGATTATACAGTCGAAACTTCTAATAAGATTAGTTCAGAACTGTGAAATGGCAATATTTGTTATATTTTCTAACTATTAATTGCTCGAAAACCAAGTGAGGAAAAAAAAGTTTCAAACAAATTTTAATAAATGAAGAAAAAAAGTCTCATAATACTATTGGGTCTTAGAACGACCCCGAAAAAACATGAGCACTGAACTATGTTTAACGCATGCGCATCAATTGTAATCACTGAAAACACCAGCAAAGTTGGTAGTTGAATAATAATTGGTTAGCATGGTAGCAGAGATTACCTGAACTTGGCTCCAAGACATTGGTATATAGTTTAAAGCCGCAATTAATTATAAAATTCATTATTGTATTTTACATGATATTATTAACAGTTATTGATGAACAATGGCTCACCAGTTATTATTATCTGCTAATAAACTAGAAAAATTGATATTTAAGTCTTTAAATAACAATCAAAATCGATTTAAAGTAAGGATAATTTTATAACCTATAACTCATATTGCGTTTTTAGATGTAATTCAACATAAGGTAAAATTCAATTTATTTTATTTTGATAGATATGTCGCTCAATTTTATATTTAAAAAATAATATAAAATTGTCTTCTTGTGGAGAGACACTTGAACAAAATTGGTTGTTATTGACTGGGAAGCCTCCTAAAGGGTTTGAAAAATTTTTTAAACCAAGTAATTATATTTTGATGTTGATTATTTTTATAAATTATATATTCACTGCTCATATAATAATTGATTTTTTTTATGTAGATGGAAAAACATCGGCAAAACCAAATGAATCAGCTGGTACAAAATCTGAAACTTCACAAAGTCAACAACAAAGTTCATCGAGCACATCACCACCACCACCACCTCCACCACCGTCACGGCCTTTATCTAGTGAAAAACCAGTAAACCAGTTTTTATCAGGAATATTCAAACCTACTGCAAGGGGTAGTGGAAGTGGAGGCGGTGGTGGAAAACCATTTAATAATGACAGAGACAAATGGCTAATTGCCGGAATAATTGGTGCCATTGGTATAATTGGTTCTATGGTATATTTCGAAGTCGGTGCCAAAGAAATAACTTGGCGAGAATTTGTATACAGGTTAGCATGATAAATTTCTTTTCTAGTTATTATAATTTCTACTGCAATAAATTTAATACACAATTAACATGAATTTTTCAGTTACTTAAACAAAGGCGTGGTGGAAAAATTAGAAGTTGTTAATAAAAAATGGGTTAGAGTGAGACTACTACCTGGTCATACAGTCGAAGGATCAGTAAGTACTTGAATAAATTCAATTTTTTCACACAAATGTTGAACATCTAAAAGAGAAAATTTTCTCAGTTTTTAATAACCTTGAAGTAAATGTTGACAAGCTTAAGAATAATTTACCTCTTATGAAACAACATTAAATTATTACATATATTTGATGAAATGGTTCACTTTCAGTTAATTCTATTGCGTCATTGGTTGAAATTTGTTGGTTTTTAAAGAGACTTCTTTAGAAATTATATTAGTCTATCATATATTAATATCACTGTGTCTTACAGAAGATTTTATTTTTTCTTTTATTAAAAAATATTACAACCATGAGTATTCCAAAATATGAATACAAATAACTTACAAGAGTGATAACTTCTTATAAAAACAAATTTTTATTCAATTTAACTAAGATAGTGACTACAAATAGATGTTATAAATCAGTTAGAATGTTAATGACATATTCCATCTAAATAATTTAAATAATGAAATAACCATTACAGCACACAAATATTAAAAATGGACTCTGCGAATTATTAAAAATCAAGTGTCAGAAAGTAATCTATATTTAGTTTCGAAATACTTTTATGGTACTGCCATTTATGACATCCAGAAGTAATTTTTGTCCAAGAGGTAAATAAGCTATCATAAATTAATACTCACAATAGAAGTTGGGTATTTCAAAATTAACATTGTTTTTTTTTTTGACTTCGTTCTGAAGTCTAGACTTCTCTTCATTAAAAATTTCTTTAATATATCAAAGCATACCTCTTGACAATAATATGATTAATAAAAAAACAGTAGCTAAGAAGGATAAAAAAAGGATCATTTTTCAAGATTTTTATAGTAAAAGTTTTAAGGATGTCTATTTTTTTTTTTTTTTCAAAAACAAAAATCTAATATTTAAAAATAAAATTTTCATTTTTTTACATTCGAATATCGATATCTTAAAAACTAAGCAAGATATCGAAAAATTTTATTCTTACTTTTCAACTTATTTCGTCGAGATTCCTACAAACTCGCTTTCAAATCGTGGTGACGTGAGATCCGAAGAAATGCTTGAGTAATCTTTGTGTGTTAAAACCACATTAAATGATGCAAGCCGGATCGAAGTTATAATTCGTTCAAGAAATATCGCTGTCAAAATAATTCAAAAAAAAGTTTCTTACACGGAGTTTAAATAGAGTTTTCTATCTAAGCTCCTTGGCTTCTTACATCACTTCAAAAGTTCACGTTAGATCGTATTTAAAGTGAACTGTGATCTTTTTGTGTCAAAAGAAAATGCGTTAAAAGCCGCAAACTGCTTAATTATCAATGGATTAGAGGGGAGATATCAGTGAATTATCGTTTGGGAGATATCGAAATTCACAAAAAAAAAAAATATTTTTTCCAATACGATAATGCTAGATTATCGAGCTCGACAATGGACAAAAATTGCATTTTTGAGTTCAAAAAACAAAAATTTTTGAGCTTCACAATCGATTTTTTAGAATCTTAATACCGTTATTCCTCACTTGAATGTAGCTTGTTTTATTAGCCTGGTTACACCCGTGTAATTGTGTACATTTGCCTAATTCTATAACTTAGAATTTCCCCGAGTAAAAAAAAAAGATAGCGGACAACGGAAGCGGAGTAGGTATCAAATACATCTGAATAGCTAAGTTTAGTCATACTTTTTTAAAAAATGTTAATTTAATTTTATGACACATGTCTTTATTTTTGCCAGTACAATAAATTACATTATTTATTATATAATAGTCAGAATAAATTATATTATATAACAAAAATTTCTTTGCCATTTTCATAATCAGTATCTGAATGATGAAAATGATTAATAATCTTTTTGTAAAATGCACAATTCTCATATTTAATATTCGGATTGTTCAAATCTGAATTTTTATTTTATTTTTTTTTCTTTAACAGTAATTTATTTTTTTGTCAGTCAAAAAAAGCTAAAACTGGTGGTTTTTTAATAAAATAAATAAGTGGAATTGATTGTTTATTAGAGATTGTTAGGATTTTTTGGTTTTTCTCTGTTGTGATCAAGGTTATCGATGATTACGGTGATTTTAACTTATCCAATTTATCATTTGCAGCTAGATTCTCTTTCATTTATTATAAAGTCATCAGAAAAATTACTGCAGTCAACATCAGTTTTTGAGGAGATTCCAGATTTTCATTTGAAATTACTACGTTACTTGAATAATTAGAGAAAAAATCTTAAATCCACTCAACTTTTTATGAGTATACTAATAGATGTTTGTGGGATTAGTTGATCATTGACGGTTTAAAAAGTGGCGGAATTCCTTTAGCGGAGTCACATTTCTATTTAATTTTCCACTAAAATTATTACTGCAGTTATTTGATAAAATCACTTTCTATAATTTTATTTGAAATTCCCATTTTTGTCAACACACGAATTCCTCAGGAATTCCAGCTGATGTATAACCGGAGCAATTTTGTAACTTTTTTACTCTTATCACTGTATTTTATTGAATTTTTGACGTAACCTGTAAATAATTCAATCAGTTATGAATAAGATAGTAATCATTTGAATATTTAACAGAGTATCAAATTTTTATGTGTTCGAATAATTTTTAGGGCTGTACAATTAAGCCGGTTGAAAAAGTTAAAACTTTTCGCATAAATTACGTTGCTTAAAGTTAAAAAAAAACCTGCTCCGAAGGTGTACTGGAAGGAGGAATACCTAAAAATTTTCTAGCAAAATTGGCCAAGATCGGAAATTTGTGCTTTTTTGAATTCTACTAAAGTAGTGGATTGTCTGCTTTTGGAATGGTAGGCTTACGGTCAAATTCTTTTATTTCTTTCTCAATAGTAGTTTGTCCTTCAAAACTTGTCATTATCTGTAAATTTCCAGACAACCCGCTTACAAGATTAAAAAGATATTTTAAATCCTTTTCTTTTTAATTCTTACTAGAATCAGATTTATTTACTGGAACTCGTTCTGTCGTTTCTATTAGTTTTTCTCCAATCTTACCTCGATATATTTCATCTTCCGGCAAGTTTTTGTATATAAACGGGAAAAAAATTAAAGTAAAAAATACAATAGTAACATCGTAATCAAGGACTAGTCTTTCAATATCTTAAATTTTATAATTTTATATTTCAAAAATGACTATTTACTCATGAATTATTACGATGTGAATATTGTACTTCTCACAAATGATCTAAGTAAACAATAACAAAAAAATTTTTACAATGCTGTTGCCTACAGAATATAATTTGAATTATAGAAAAGTACGATATTACTTAGTAAATTTTTTTCCCGCAAGAGCAAGTGAATAAAAACGTATACTATGTTCAAGTAAAGGAGACAGAGTCCAGTAATCTGCACCGCTACCGCCGAAGAATGACAAACTTTTGTATGGAGGGTCTTATTGGGTGACTGAATAAAACTTTTTCTTGAAGTGTATAAAACTGTGTGTAAGGTGAAGCAGTACAATTTTTTCAAAAGAATTTACGATGTTGCATCGTATAAATACGTATGTTTGAGATTTGGTCCGGCACTGTCCTATACTAAAAATTACGATGTTTCTATAGCAATTTCATTACTTATTTTACATTACATTCATTACTTATCTTTCAGACATGATTAGACATGAATAGGCATGATCATGTCTAATTTCAGGCCTGATCATTTATGAACAGGCATGGTCATGACTGAATATTTTTTCCCGGGAACAGTTAGGAATTTGGTCTAACGAGAGAAACGCCAGTTCCGAGACCCGAGAATTAATACATATGAGAAAGTTTTCTTTTCAACTGTTATAGATGACGTGCGCGTAATTCAAATAGATAATGAATGGTAAGCTTTTCTCCCTACTATCGAGGGTAAAGGTACTTACTTTCGACCGAGGTATGAAGAAAAATACTATTAAAACATTACTTTATGACTTTTTATTATGTCACTTGTAACAAAATAAAATTTTGCTTTAATCAAAGCTCAAAAATAATCATTTTTAGGATATTAGTATTTTTTCATTAGCTTTTGAAGTAATTTCCGGTAATGGTTTATAAATTTGAGATTAAATCCAAAGAAGAAGATACTTAATTCTAAAACTATTTAGAATTGGGGAAATTTAGGACTAAAGATTGAATAATAAAGTCATTTAGAAATAGAGATAATTCAAAACAGACTTATTAAAGACCAGAATGATCAAATAGTAGAAAAAATTGAGAATAGATAAATTTTAAATTAAAGCTAATTTACGAATAGTTATTTAAGTATAAATATTAAATAATAGTAACTTAAAGATAGTTTTGTTTAGGAATATATTCAGCAAAGATTATAACTTTGTGGTATAAAAATATGTACGAATAATGAAGTAAAGAATTGAGTAACTTTCTTTTCCTTTTTAAAGTACTTGAAAAATATTGTTTCAAGTATTGAACAATTGGCGTGTTTCAGGAATATAAAACATTCAAGCCTCTACTCAATGCAGATCTAGCATGATTCGAATCAAATAATTAAAAATTCAATGATTATACTCTCTTCGTAATTTTGTGGTAATATTTCAATTATCTTCTACTATTAATACCCCAACTTTTATACGTTCAATTAAGAAGTTATTATTGTTTAGAAGTATTTCAAAAGTCATATCTGATTCCATAACCGCTCATAAGTAGATCAGCCTACAGTTTATTTCAAATATTTGATTCAAATATTGAAAAGAATAACTATACTGTAACATGGAACAAACTTTGAATCATTGTTTTATTTGAGGGAAGAAATATGAACTAACCAAACATAAACCGTAAAAAATGGGTTCTATTCAGACGATTGCATTTTAGTATATCGATACTGCCATTCTAATACGTCGTATTCCACATTTAGAAAATTTTACAGCAAACGGTAAAAAGTTTTTACTAAAAACAGTTCATTTTTAACATTGATTAAATGGGATTCAATGGATGAAAATATTTATTTAAAAGTAGTTATCAAACTATTTGACCTTGAAATTTTTAATATGACTTGCATAATATTGTTGTGATTCTATTTTTCAAAAAACGTCAATATGTCAAATTTTGTGGGATACGACGTATTAGAATCACAGTATCGATATGCTTATTCCTTTACTACATACACTATTAGACCTTCTGAGAGTACAAATAATATATTGAAAAAAAAAAAGAATGAAAAGTAAGTACTATCAATTTTTAACAATATTTCTTTGATTTTTCAGAATACATTATGGTTCAACATCGGTAGCACTGATACCTTCGAGAGAAATTTAGAAAATGCCCAATTGGAATTAAATATTGAACCTCAGAATCATCTTCCTGTTGTGTATAAATCAGAAATTGAGACGTCGACAATAGGTTCCTACTTACCTACACTTCTTATTTTAGGTAAGTTAATGATTTTTATAATAGTTATTATTATTTATTATTGAATTATTAATTTTTATTTACCACAAGATTATAAGTTTGAATTTGTAAGTTACAAATTTTAATAATTACAGTTAAACCCAATATAATATCTGACAAATTCAATCTATATCACACTCACTTTTCGAGAAAGAACCTCCTGACTAGGTACCGTTCTCTATGTTTTTTTTTTTGTTTCAAAATAATCTTTGCTTCCAATGAGTTAAAGATACGATTTATCTAACATACCAGAAAAATGAGTAGATGAGCAGATACCTTTTCAAAAAGTGGTTATCGTATTTATCAATTATTGGACTTTCTACTGTAGTTATTTAAGTTTCTAAAATATTATTGATACAAACAATATTTTTATTTTCAATTATAATTTCTTAGTATTTGAATTCTGATTATTGACTATATAATATTGCCACCCGATAGCCGCATAGAGCATCTGGATGAAATAATAAAAAAAAAAAGAGGTATCACGAAACACTCGGTTAGATCGAAATCCCATACGATATATTAACTATTAATAATAAGTAAAAAGTAATAAATTATCAGCGATTGAGAGCAATTAGATTAAAAATTCATGGTGCCGTCGCCATGGTAATCATTACTAAAGTAAGAATTGCCAATAAAAGTCGTGACGCTTAAAATCGTACACTTTTTTTGGTCTTGCTTTCCTTTCGAATAGCTAAACTATTTTTTGTACTGTTCGGCAAAAAATCAAATTTGGGTTTTTTTTTACCTTCCCGCTACGAAAGTTAATAGTTGACAATTTACTAATCTTTCTGCAGAACAATAGCAAATATTTTTAAATATAGTACATACAACGGAAGAAATTAACATATACCAATCCTCGTTTTTGGCTTTGTGATAGAATGGAGCATAGATTGGAATGTTCTACTTTTTTCTCTTAATGTAATGAACTCTCACTTTTGTAAGTTATTCTTAATTAACACCAATGTTCTATAGCGGTTTTGATACAAGCCATGCGTCGATCAGCTGCATTTATGGGCGGAAAAGGAGGAAAACGTGGTGGAATATTTGGTAGCGTAACAGAGTCCACGGCAAAATTAATAAATCCAAATGAAATCGGCGTACAATTCAAGTAAATGGTCAATAAGATTTAAAGAGTATAACAACTCTATTTTTTTTTTAAATAATTGTATTTTAGGGATGTAGCTGGTTGTGAAGAGGCAAAGATCGAAATTATGGAGTTTGTAAATTTTCTTAAAAATACACAGCAATATCTTGATCTAGGAGCAAAGATCCCTAAAGGTGCAATACTTACAGGTATAATTACTTTATAATGCTTTATTTTTGGTTAAATAATTATTCATATATTAATATTAAGTAACTGATTGAAATAAGGACCTCCTGGAACCGGTAAAACATTGTTAGCGAAAGCAACAGCAGGTGAAGCCAATGTTCCATTCATTACAACATCTGGATCCGAATTTTTGGAGATGTTCGTTGGTGTTGGTCCATCTAGAGTGAGAGATATGTTTGCAATGGCACGTAAACATGCACCATGCATACTATTTATTGATGAAATTGACGCAGTTGGTAGAAAAAGAGGTGGACGAAATATTGGAGGCCATTCCGAACAAGAAAACACTCTAAATCAACTTCTAGTCGAAATGGATGGTATGTTAGTGATATATTTTTTAATTTTTTAGTGTTGAGATTAAATTAAAATGAAAAGGAATGAAATCTTAATGGATTTTTTATTATGTATGAATGTTATTATGGACGTAATACTAGGTACGTAAGTGAAAATTATAACTTAATTGTATCTGCAGGATCCTATTATCATAACAACTAGGACAGTAAGTAGCGCCTCCTATCAGGGAGGACTACTTGTAACGATCAGTATTGTTGCAATATTGGCCGAATATAAAATCTGCAGACTTCTAGCTTTGATGAAAGCAAACGTGTTAAAGCTATACCAAGAAGGGGTCTTTCATCTCCAATGTAGCCCTTGGAAAACCTAGCATTTTCTATTGTATAAAGTGTCATCCTATATCGTGAAGTTTGTAGGAGGACCGTAACGCACCCAGGTTAACTTCCTAAATACATAATTTCAAAAAACTTTATAGGGTGAAGACACTGTACTGCGTGGAGCCGAAATTGAAAAATGAAAGCGATAAGAAGGTTTAGCTAACGACAAGTCTTCCTAAATCAGCGAGCATGTATCCACGACAATTGCAGTAGTCACTTCTGTATTTTGATATTGAAATTATGTCTCTCTTACCATGTAAATTTAAAAACAATAGTAAAATACATTAGATTTGAAATTACCTTTTATAGGGCTCGGGTACAATGATAGATTGTAATTAGATGTTTGTGCGTGAAAAAAAAAAAAAAAAACAAGTGTTAGTTGTCAGAAAAAAAAACATACTTCAGACGGGTCAAATATCGCTCTAAAATTATACTTTCGCTGTTGGAATTGCAAAAAAAATTTTTTCTCTTTTCAAATTTAAGATATTACTGATAGTTTCAAAATTACCGTCAAAAATATATAAAACTTAGCTTGTCAGTATAGTATGATAAAATCTGTTTAATCATAGTTGTTAACTCGTTCCTTTATAAACGCTGTTTTTTGTTTCAAACCGTCATTAACTGAAACTTCATAATTTTTTTTTGTTTTTATTAAGGTTTCAATACAACAACAAATGTGGTAGTGTTAGCAGCAACCAATAGAGTTGACATTTTAGACAATGCTCTTTTACGTCCTGGTCGATTCGATCGACAAATATTTGTTCCGGCTCCAGATATTAAAGGTCGTGCATCGATTTTTAAAATTCACTTAAAGCCTTTAAAGTCGAATTTAGATAAAGAAGCTCTAGCAAGAAAAATGGCATCATTGACTCCTGGATTCACTGGAGCGGATATAGCTAATGTTTGCAATGAAGCTGCTCTAATAGCTGCAAGAAACTTGTCGAATAATATTGATATGAAAAATTTTGAAGCCGCCATAGATCGAGTAGTCGCAGGTATGGAAAAAAAGACAAATGTATTACAACCGGAAGAAAAAAAAACAGTAGCATATCACGAAGCTGGCCATGCTGTCTCTGGTTGGTACTTACAGCATGCAGACCCAATATTGAAGGTACGGCAGTATTTTTTTTTTTTAATTTTTTTATTTATCATTAGTTACTAGTGAATTAATATTTGAAATAGTTAAAGAATTACGGAATACCAAATTATTGGTGATTTTGTAAGGGTTGTAATTTAAAGTAAAAAGATCATACAAAAGAAGCATATTAAAGCTTCTGGTAAAGTTTTTGATTTTTAAATCTAAGATCGTTAAGAATTTATCAGCATTAGCTGTTTCTAAGTAATCATAAATGTTTTTTTTTTAATTTTTTGTCACCGTTGAGAAAGATGTAAATTATTAATTTCAAATGACTGTTACCGAAAAAAATTCAATTCCGAAGAACAAAGGATTTTACTTACAACAATAAAAATTGGTTGTTATTATAATTACCGAAACAAGTTTTCCCCATTGAAATTTATAGTAATTACGAAGGACCTATGATCAACCCAGGTCTAAAAAACGGTAAAAAAGTAGTACACGGAAAGAAAATTGCACGAAAAATTACAATGGAAACATAGTAATTTTTAGTATAGAACATTGTAGTGCCGGACCAGAACTCAAACATTGTAATTTATACGTTGCAACATCGTAAATTTCTATCACTCAAATGAAAAAGAAGTTTAGTTCACCGAAAAAATAATTCCGTGTCACCGAGGAATCGAACCCAGTATTTTCTCCGCTACAGGCCCAAGGCTTACCCCCTTACGCCATCAGAAGGAATATCTATACTTTCTGTTCAGTCACATAATAAGACCCTCCATACAGTAGTTGGTCATCTTTCGGTGGTGGCGTCGCAAACTACTAGACTCTGTCTCTCTTTTATTAAAACATATAGTATGCGTCCTTATTCACTTGCTCTTACGGAAAAAAAATTTACTGAATAACATAGTAATTTTCAATAGTTCAAATTGTATTCTGTAGACGGCAGCATCATAAAAATCAACATACTGAAAGTCTAGTCCTGGATTACGATGTTACCAATGTAATTTTTCATAGGATTTTTTTTTGTGTTCAGTTTATGATATAAAATTTTGAAGAAAATCGAAGAATGAACTTGATAAATAATAAGATTTCTGATATTTTGTGTTTTTTATGATGTTTTTCGTCGTGTTAATTGAATGTTAATAAATTAAAAGAAAAATTTAGGTCTTTTGATAGGCACATAAAATATCAAAAAATTAAAGATAAAAGTTTCTAAAACCGTTTTTTTCTTTTTTTTTTTTATGAGGAACGCTCTATAAATATGTAATTAATTATTTTATTATAATAGGTATCCATTATTCCTCGTGGAAAAGGCCTTGGTTATGCCCAATATTTGCCACGTGAACAATATCTTTACTCAACGGAACAATTGTTTGACCGAATGTGCATGACGCTTGGTGGTCGTGTATCTGAAGAAATATTTTTTAATAAAATAACAACAGGTGCTCAAGATGATCTACAGAAAATTACAAAGATTGCTTATTCTCAAATAACATCGTATGGAATGAATGATAAAGTGGGTAATGTTAGTTTTGAACAACCACAACAAGGTGATATAGTAGTAGATAAACCTTACTCGGAACAAACTGCGCAATTAATCGATCAAGAAGTACGAGACCTCATCGCGAGAGCTCATGATCGAACACATAAACTATTATTGGAACACAAAGATGACGTTGTAAAGGTATATATAATTGTCATTCATAGAATCGTATAAAATATCCGAACAAAAACAGTTTCACTGTAAAAAACCGCGCCACGTCCACGTTCATAAGACTTCGAAAAAAATTAATCGTTTTTTACAAAAAAAATATGAAATCAAAAAAACTCCAAGTACTGTTTATAACTTTATTAAAAATATGAAAAAAAGTTAGTAGCAAGTTTAAAACTTAATGAAAATCTTTTTAAACGTACGTGGCGTACGTCATTGAGTAGCCCAAATTTTTTCGTGAAAGATATTTAATTTCATGTGCACAAACATATAACAAACGTTAATATCTTAAGTTCTAAAAATTTGGGGTACTCAATGACGCACGACAAGTACGTTTAAAAAGATTTTCATTAAGTTTTAAACTTGCTACTAACTTTTTTTCATATTTTTAATAAAGTTATAAACAGTACTTGGAGTTTTTTTGATTTCATATTTTTTTGTAAAAAACGATTAATTTTTTTCGAAGTCTTATGAACGTGGACTGGGCGCGATTTTTTACAGTGAAACTGTTTTTGTTCGGATTTCACATCTTTTTGCAAAGTGCCAATGTTATTCAAATGAGTCTGATGAACGTGGACACATCCTTAAATTATTATTATAAATATATTTTTTATGAAATATAATAATTTTAATCCTTTATAGAAAAATCTAGCCCTTAATGACCGAAACAGATAATCTCATAGTTACGTCTGGCATTCTAAAACTTGGCGCCTAAAGTTTACTTATCCAGTTACTACAGTGTATGTAAAATTTCTCGCGTCGCACTCTAGTGTGTAAAAATAGAAACTGTTAAAACTCAATTTTAGACTGGAGTTTCCGGTCTACCTATGAAATTACTGCACATAAGCATTTTTTGCATGCCTTAAGCGCGAAGCGCGCAGGTATGCTCTACTCTCCCCTAAAAATCGTGATTTCGATTAAAACGTGATATTCATAATTTAAACGAAAAAAATTATGAATAAAAAGCATATTAAAATGAATAATAGTAACTACAGAACACGTTAGAAAAATTTTCTTATCGATTAAATAAGATTCCTCAGAAAAAACTCGTTTTTCTGATGAATTAAATGAATAAGAGCCTGGTATTCACGGGAGCTATGGGCTTGACAACACCACAACTTTGTCAAAAATCACTTTCACGATTTAATTTTTTTTTTGTTTTATTCCTGAGGAAGTTTATCAAAACCCTTGTGAAAATTGCGTGTCAAAATAATTCCGTTTCGATACAGTTAATTTTTTTCGATTGCCAGTTCGGTGACTTTTTCTGCGATTTCGGCAGCCATATGTATTATTTTTCATAAACAGAATTGAAATAACTATAAACAAGCAGAAACTATACATACATGATGGTATAATTACTAACTGTTTTATCATCTGTTAAAATTTTTCTTTAGTTCGACCTACAGAGGGCATAATACTACTCGCGGAAAAATTCAAATTAAAAACGAATAATTTTTGTTATGATCTAAATATTTTATGTATGACATGAGCGCTTAAGGCATGCTCATTTGGATTTTCCAAACTTTTTATAGTCTATGGATGTCAGATTTTGCACCGAAAAAAGTTCCAAAACTAAAAATTTACGTTGCTATAGTTTGTGCTGCTTAAATTTATTAATTAAAAATAGAATTCATTAAAAAGTATGTAAAAAGTAAATGATTAACAGTTTATTAAGATGTAATCTATTATTAAAAAACATAACTTTTAGTATAATTATTATAAAAAAAAAAATGTGATTTTTACTTGTATACAACCTTAGTGTGTTTTTACAAGGAGAGGGTGGGGATTATCTTCCACTTTAGTCTCTCGCCTGTTTTTTCCACTACGTTTTATCATACATGTAACTACCACATTTTTTTTCTCCTGCTTCCGTCCCCCCTTTTTATTCCCACCCTCTCGGTGAGGTAGATTTCTTCACTCTACCCCACCTCAATGCGTTCGAGGTAGCGGCTGTGGCCGACTTACAAGTACTGTACGCATTTGCCTGTGCCTGCCCATTTAAGCTTTAGCACAGTGACCAAGGAAAACCACAGAAAACCTGGTCAGTACAGTTCGGCTACTAGAGCGACCCTCAGCGGTTGTTATTGAAATCAATTTTCTAACAACCGCTGGAGCTCGAACCCGCGCCTATCGGCACGATATCCGTACAGACTAACGCATTAGTCCGCACGGCTATCGCGGCCTAGTATAATTATTATAATAAATATATAAAATTTTCTAACCCTAAAATCAGGCTCTGCTTACGGTATAGTCTTCGGTAGGCTGGCGTTTGAATGATATTTGGCGCCAGACTTCTACCGAGTCTGTAGATTAATATTAGTATAAGGATAAAAATAAGGTCTTCAGTAATCACAAATTTTTATTACATATTTTTTATTTTTTATAAAACTTAAGTATTAAATACATATTTCTTTAAATTATGACATATCATATAAAACTGACGGTTTTAATTTTTAGGTTGCAGAACGACTCTTAGCAAAAGAAATTTTAAGCAGAGATGATATGATAGAATTACTGGGTCCAAGGCCATTTCCTGAAAAATCATCGTATGAACAGTTTGTTGAAGGCACTGGCTCATTTGAAGAAGATACTACACTTCCTGAAGGTCTTAAAGATTGGAATGTTGAAAAAAAGAGTACAAAACCAAATGAAGACGATAATAAGAATAAACCATCAGCTTCAGAAAGTTCAAAGTAATCTTCATCCAATGTATAAAATTGTTAAAATACCAGTCTCAGTAATTAATTTTATTAATATTTGTATTTATTATTTTTTATGTAGGTCGTGTTCTATTTAAGTATTTCATTCATATTTTTTACAATAGTTTAAAATAAAAAAAAAAAAAAATTGATAAATCTTTGAGACTGTCAATCGTAAAGTTAGCCTAAGCTTCTTTATAACTAAATTTGTGAATAAAATTAATTATGTGAATCAAGATCAGTTTTTAATAAATTTCACGACAAAATAAAAAGTCATCGAATTGAATAAAACGTTTTTTAAATTGAATTTCCTATTCCGAATTCGATTTTTTAAAATATTCATTCAATAATATAATGGGTTTAGGAATTACTTTTGTTTTGTCCTGTGCTTAGAGGGTGTTGCAGAAAAACATCTTTTTTTTTCGAGTTTAGGTAAGGTACATAAACAATAATTTTTTTAACTCTAGGACTTTCTGAAAAAGCAATTGAGTCTTACGATAATGTATATGAATTACAGGTTGTGGGTTGAGCAAAATTTATCTTGGTATTAATATTATTTCACTGGACAAAAACAAAAATTAATTTCAGAGGGACTCGAACAATGAGACAAAGAAAATAAGCATACAAGATCAAGAACGATATCAAGAGTACTTCAGACTTGGCGTTGCTCTTATTTTACTAAATCATGATTTTTAAAAATAGAGTTTTTTTCGTGAAGTTAAATTCTGTAGACGTGACATCTGAAATTCTTTTTGCATTTTTTTTTTAAATTAACATTTAAAAACTAAAATTGAAAAATAAACGATATATTTGTTTAATTTTCTGTTAATTGAGTTATCAGACACCAGAATTAGATTTTAAAAATAATCTGAAAATTGGTTGACAATTATTGCAGGCCATTCCTGAAATTTCCCGCTAAGTTAGAATGTTTTGAGCAAAAGTTTTAAAACTATTAAAAATCACGATTTCAGCGACTTCAATCGTGAATAATTTTTGACTGGGAAGAGATATCTCATTTTTTAAGGGGGTATTCTAGCCTAGAAGCATGAATTTCAGGTAATTTTTTGCCGTAAAGTGCCGTAAAAAAAGGCAATCAATATTTTTAGTATCCATTTTTTATAAGTTATTTGTTAACATTACAAGAATACAGAAAAAAATTAAAAAAGTTGGAAATTCAAAAAATTAGCAGCTGATGAAGTGGGGAGGGGGTCTAAAAAAATTGGCACGTGACCATGCCCACGATTCCAACCCTCCTAGCAATCGGAAATAAAAAAATAAAAAAGATTATTAATCTAGAGTAATGTCGCTATGGTATGAACTACGGTCATCCTCAAATTTCAATTTTTACTATTTTTAAAAAATTCGAAAAAGTCAAAAAAAGCAGTACAAAAAATATTTTTTTTTTTCAGGCAGTCGCCATTTTGTGAAAAAAATTTTTTTCAACTTTTCCCTAGTTCATGCCATAGCGATATTACTCTAGATTAATAATCTCATATGTTAATATATAGTCTGATATGTCCATATCAGGCCATATTAAGCCTGATATATTTATGTATGTCCTAATACGTCCATTTTCCATATCAGGTCATACAAGGCTATATCAGAAAATTTTTTCACGGGACACCATTCCGGTATTGGGTTTTTTATCTTGGTATATATTTATTTACTAGTCATACAATTACTAGGTATATTCAATTACTATAGTCAAGGAAAATTTACAGATAAGATAGATAGATAGTTAATCAGAAATTTTGTTCTTGCGCATTAAAAAATCTCCGCGCGCAACACAACTACAATCCACTGAAATACTTGAAATACTAACTTACTAAAATCAATAGAAATAATATCCAAAGTAGATGTCAAAAACCGTCGGACTAGAATGTTATGTTTCAAGTTACATATTTGTAAGTTTTAAATTAAGTTAACTTACTTCCATTATATGTATTTTTTTGTGATAGCAACATCAAAACTTCGAAATTAATCGTCAAAATTATTCTAAATATTTCGAGTCATCTTTATGTTAGGTTTGACTGCATATTTGATTTCATTATTTATAATACTGTATATACAGTAGTATATACTACTGATAAGTAAAACTAAACAATTTTTGTAGGTTATGTCAATGTCAAGAAATTTGTACAAAATTGCAATCAATGTATTCAAAATTATTAAAAGTAATAGTAAGTAATTATAATATATTTAGACTATAATTGAAAAAAAACAATTTGTTTTAAATGGATTTTTTTTTTCAGAAAACGAATAAACACTGTGACTATAATTGTTATGCAACATCACAAAAAGCAGATATTTCAGCAAATAAGATATTTAATCCGTTCTTTGAAGCTGTGAAAAGTTGGGATTAGAAGCTTATCGATAAATTTGTTAATAATGGAGCTAATATTAATGCTTGCTTAGTAATAACTGGACCTCGAGCCGGTTATACAGCATTGCATTTTGCATGCATAGACGATGATGACGATAAAGCTTTAAAATTGCTAGAAAACTATGAAGTAAATGTGAATTCCGTGGATGACGACGGTGTCCAACCGCTTCATCTAGCTTGCTTACTCGGACACGAACGTATTGTAAATGTTCTGCTGAATTCTGGCGCTAACCCTGATGTTGAGTTCAGTAAAAAAATTCATGAAAAGTATGCTAAGTATGGTGAGAAATGGTCTGATGATTTTGGTGGTAAAATGACACTACTAACTTTTGCTGTTATCAATAATGACGAATACTTGACACATCGTATATTGAAGCAAAATAAAAATAAAGCCAATCTTTCGATTAGAAGCATCAACAATAAGACATTGCTAATGTATGCAGAAGAAAATGATAATTATAATATTGTATATTGGCTTTTATCGAAAATGAAAGATTATCCAGAACTAATTAATGCTCGAGATCGTGATGACTTTCATGTACTTCATTAATATTTACTGCCCAACAAAAAATTCGGACAGTTCCGATATCATCAGAAAATATTTTTCGAGTCAAAAAAGGGCCAAATTGCAGCTGAATTAATCGATGCCGGCGTAGATATTTATGCTACAATTAATGGTAATCCGGATACACTGTTACTCAATATGGCGGCTTACCGAAGTTGCTTGAGCATCCTTAAGATATTGATGAATCTTGATATTCATCTAAGCATTACATCTAAAGCTTTATGTAACGCAACTCTACCTATTGATCCCACTAAGTATATGCGTATTTATCGGAACATTCCTGGTGATAATCCTATAGTAGTAATGGAAAAAGAAAGAAAACTGTGCATTGAGTATATCCTTCAAAATTTGGTCATCAGACGTAGATTAAGATTGTTTGTTCCGGAAGAAGAAAAGAAATTAATGGATCAATTAATTGCTATGGATCTTGATATCAAAGAGATTGTCAGCAATTACGAGGAAGAGTTTATTAGTGGATTTAAAAATGAAGTGATATATTACAGTGGCAAGTCGATAAATCTTTATGAATTAATAGTGAAGGTTTTTCATGATAGAACGCTAAAGCAGTTAGTGAAAGATAACAATCTTGTTGAAACATATAAGAAATTTTCTGCAAGCAAAGTATTTCAAGACACCCAAACGTATCGGCTTATTCAAATAATGGATAGTAAGATTACAAGAGCTCATAAAAGGATGAAACTATTAGGAAAAATTGAGAAAATTTGGGATCTGAAGAAAGCTATACCTTTGCCCTATGAAATTATATTAGATATCATTGAATTGATAATTACAATTTGAAAATGTTTATCGATGCTTTTTATATAAATCCAGTGTACTTATAATTTTTATATAAAATTATTATTTTAACTAATAATAATCTTAATTTATAAATGTACTTATTTTTTGTTACTTTTTTGATATTACTTTTAAGTATTTTTATAATAATTGATTATAATTATCTATATTGCGAGAGATAACTCAGTGCTTTTTTTTGCCCTAGTAGTAATTTGGTTAAAATCGTGTGCAAGTTTGACTAAAGATTCGTAATGATGCATATCTGTATAAAAATTTTTAAAATTCTTGGTGAAGAAACTTATGGCAAATCATTCTTCAAAATCGTAAAAAAGTCGCTGCAGATACTTGATCAAAATTTTCAGACAAGACTACGGCCAGAATGGGCAAAAGATGGTGGAATTCTCTATCACGACTTTTCGAGACCCGAGAAAAAATATTTATATATAATTATATATTGTATTCGATAATAAATTGAACTTTCAGCCGCACATTAGCAAGGTTGTTACAGCATCATGGAAAATGTTAGGCTTTGTAACCAGATCAAGCCGCAATCTATTAACTGATAAAGCTATTAAATCTATCTATTTTTCCCTGGTTAGGTCGCGTCTTGAATATGCCGCAGTAGTATGGTCTCCAACCTATGAAGTATATAGTAACAAAATTGATTAAGTTCAACATAAATTTCTCAAGTTCATGTCCTGGAAAATGGATCGTGTTTATACTAAACCAGGCATGGACAGGAAAGAGCTTTGTAGTAGATTCCATATGACTACATTAAAAGATCGTAGACTCTGTGCATGCGCCATCTTCTTGACGCGGCTGATTCAGGGGAAGATAGATTGTGAACGTCTGGCAGGCGCTATTACTTTTAGAGCCCCGACCTGGAGGGATAGTACTCCCTTCCAGCTTCCACTTGCTGGTACCAACTTTGCTCCATCTGCCCCCATTTACCGATTAATAAGTGCCTTCATTACTTTTTACAAGATAGATAATAGTTTGGATGTTCATAAAATAAGTAGTTCTAAATGTTTTACAAAACTCTGTATGGCAAATATTGTACAAACTGGAGCATAATATTTACTCTTACTAATTAATACTATAGTGACTTATATAAATATTAATAATAATTTTTTTTAACTAAAATAATGTATTAAATTCTATGTAATATGGAACCAGATTAATGGCTTTGCTGTAGGGTTCATTGAACTAATAAAATAAATAAATAAATAAATATATATTTATATATAAATTGGTTATATATGATTATATATGAAAAATGGCCAAATATAATCATATATAACAATATTTAATTATATATTTATTACATTTAATTAATTATTGGATTAATTTTATGGATAGAGTATTTAATATGGTCTTACGCAATTCTCTATAAATAATTAAAATGCAAAAAAAAAATGTTTATAAATAATTTTACGGCTATAAAACCACCCGAGTCGAAATTTTGATCGTATTTTGAACCTCCTAAGGTCCGATCAATTTAGGATCAGGGAGTTCAAAGTACGATCAGACAGAAATAAAAATTCGGTCCGATTTTGAACGCCTTGATCGTATTTTATAATTTTATAGTTAATTTTCAAGTCTATCTCATGCCATTTGATACAAAATTTATAAAAAAAATAATTTTTAAACGCCATTTTTTTAGTTTGATTTTGATGTAGAGCTAACGCAAGTTTAGACCATTTATAACTCTTAATTTAGACCTACCTATCGCTAATTATAGAAATAAAGGGAAAATCGCATTCCGTTCTAACCGAGATTCGAACCCGAGCCGCGCGCTTGCCAGACCGATAACTAACCCCTACGCCGTCCGACCGATAAGTTAATCCACATCTCATCATTCATATAAACTAAATCTAGATGGTGACGAAGTATGACGGTTTATTATTTATATAATTTATGTTACTCAATATTGTGTTTTGATGAAAATAAACTATTTTTTACAAATGTTTATTAGTTAAAAAAAATTAGAAAAACGGTTCACCCTAAAGGCCATCCGTGCAACTTCCCACTAATTCCATTCCTGGGCACTTAAAATTGTACTTATGACATTTTAAAGATTTTTGAGCTCAAAATATAATTTATGTGATATTTTGAGTTCACTTAGTTCAAAGAAATAATATTTCTATGCATTTGAGCTCTCCTAGCTCAAAAGTCTGGTAGAAGTTTCATAGAACACTATTTTTGGAATTTTCAAACCGCAATAACTTTTGAATGGATCAACCAATTTTCACGCGGTTCGCGGCATTCGACGCAGTTTTATCATCCTCATAAGTTATTTTCAGGTTTTCATTGATCGAACCAAAAATTTCGGAGTAATCCCGAAAAAACACTTTTTAAAGTGAAACTTTTATTACATCGTCTCAAACTTTTTGGTCTATGTAGCGCATGTCGCGAGACGGTCGGTAGTAGAGATAAAGTGAAAGGCGCTCGTCAGAGAAGCCAAGGCCAATATGGCGGTGCCCATAGCTCGCAGCTAACTGGTGTAGCATTTATATACAAATGCCATATAAGACGCTGTTTACTCCCTAGAAAAACAAAAGGATCAAAAATGATTCTTCATGTACTGAACATTCATAAGAGATAGAATTTTAAAAAATTTGAAATATTCATAGTTCAATACTTTAAAAACTTTTTAATTCTTTTGTTTAATCAGAGCTTATTTTTGTTACTGTGAAATATTAGTTACATTTATAAACTACGAGACTCATGGCAAAAATAAAGTTATTGATAAAATAATTGAATTGGAAGGTAGATTTCGATATAATTAACAGTTAAAAAAATTATGTCAAACAATAAATTCTTAAATTATCAGTGAAAAATCACAATTAATTTTTAATGAAACGACCGTTAGTTCTATTACACGGGCTAATATAACCCGTCTACCAAAAACTGGCAGAAAGTGAAATTCTTATAATCTTAATAAAATTATCATTCAGTAAATGTTTAATATAGATCAAATTAACGACGCAATTTTATCAAACATAAGATAAGTTTTAAAGAAAAAAAATGGTGTGTGTACTTATGTACACGAGTCAGAAGTTATACTTCTTTGGTATGAGAAAAAAATTTTGAAGAAAAAAAATGCAAAAATGATCGCAGAAAAATGTTGAAAACAATCAAAAAAGTTATATTATAGTAAAAATTGAGCTATACCGTATAAATATGAAATCATTAATTATCATATGAATTTAATTCAATATTATTTAAGATTTTTCTTAATCAACTAATTTTGGAGTTGCAAAGTATCAATAATTTACAATTGATAACTATAAAATATTTTAATTATTTATTTAAAATATATGTATCTTATAAAATACTAAATTTCATTAAGATCCGTTAATGACCACACTGATAGAAAAACAATCTTGATTCAAGAAACTTTTTTTCTTCAAAACTTGAACTCTTGAAACTAGATATAGATATATATTTCTTTCAAGAATTTTTGTCTCTTGGTTCAAGATAGGCGATAACATTGATTCAAGATGTTACCGACTTGTGTTAAGAATGGCTTTTTTTTGAGTCATTAATTAATTTACTTATTTCCAAGAAATAATTTTTTTTTTGGTATAAAAATTAAAGACTATTCAGTTTTTGAAATATACTTTGATGAATTATTTTAAGTTTTTTAAACGATAATGTTATTTTGATTGAAAAACTTAAATTATCGATTGAAGATGATATAGCTCTTAAGCCAAGAAAATCTAAATCATGACAAGAAATTCTTAAAGCAAAATAATCATTTATCTTCCAAAATAAATTATTAGATCAAGAAAATATCTCTTGAGTCAACATAAATTTTCTATCAGTGCATAAGCACAATCGCGGCAACATCCCCTACGCTGACCCTTTTCATTTACCAATTATCAAGTTAGGATGAAAAACGCAATTTGAAAACGCTAAATTGATTAATTTTCTGAAAATTTTTAGTTGAATGTCAACAATCCAAAAAAAGTTTCACTTGCATCGTGGTTTCATAAAACCATACAATAATTTTTTTTCGGTTTTCTTTCGTTCACGATATCTCTCGAACGAATCAACCGATTTTGACCGGATTGGTGACGATCGGCGTGGTTTTTCAAGCTCAAGGGCGGATTAGTTTTTGAATTTGATCGATGGAGCCGTTTAAAAGATATTCCAAAAAAACCACTTTCAAAGATGATTTTTTTCTTATTTTTTTTGAGATTTTTCAAGATTTCTTAAAATCTATCGGTCCAAATCGGTTCAAATTCTCAGGAAATCTATGTTCGAAAAAACTCCTTAGAACGCCGTTTAGTTCGTTCCGATCGGTCAGTAGTTCAAAAGTTATAAGCGAGTCACACACACACACACACACACACACACACACACACACACACACAAGGAGAAGTACAAGTTGAATTAAAACTTAGTAAAAATTCAGTAGTATTAGATTCTACTCAAATAGAAAGAATTTATACATTTCTTAATTATACATTTACAAATGTGTTGAGACTTCAAAAATATTTGATGATTTTTGATCCGAATGCATCAGAAAATTCTTACGTTATTGTACCTGTGAAAAAATGTGAGTTAAAAGAAATGTATTACTTAGAATTTAATGATATATTTATTTATACTAATAATATAAACCATAAATTTTAGGTCTAGTTAACGGATTTGAGGATGTAAGTGTAGACTGGAAGTTCTTAGATGTTATTTATGACAATCGTTGCACAGCACCTAGTGATATTAAAGAGGAAGATCGTATCTGTTTTGTATTTGATCCTTTAAAATATCATGATGCTGTTATAATGCCTTGGTATAGGAATCAAGATCAACCTCAATATTTTTATGTAGCTGAAATTTGTAAAAATTTAAATCCTAAATCCTCGTTTCCGGGCGATGGTTATAGTACATTTGAAGAATATTATAAAAAAAAATATGACATTAAAATCCAAAATTCCGAGCAGCCTCTCTTAGATGTTGATCATACATCAGCTCGATTAAATTTTCTCACTCCAAGATACGTTAATAGAAAAGGAGTTGCATTACCAACGAGTAGTGAGGAAACAAAAAGAGCTAAACGCGAAAACTTAGAACAAAAACAAATTTTAGTTGCTGAGTTATGTGCTATTCATCCATTTCCTGCATCATTATGGAGGCAAGCTGTTTGTTTACCTTGTATTTTGTACAGAATTAACGCATTATTACTTGCTAATCAAATTAGATGTCAAGTGGCAGAAATGATGAATCTTGGACAACAATATTTGGATTCTGATTTTGAATGGCCGGCATTGAATTTCGGGTGGAATTTAGCAGAAGTTTTAAAAAAGTCTAAAGAGTCGGATAAAAGTGTGTCTAAAGACCGTGTAAAAATATTTAATTCACATGATACTACTTTAGGAGTAGCTAAAAATGAAAAAAAAATGGACCAAGTTACTCCTAGTAGTGATAACAATTGGGGTACTTTTGAAGAAAATAAAAACGATTTTAATATAAATAATGAATTAGAAATTGGAACCTGGTCTAATGATATGGCGATTAATTCAATAAGTATGGACAGTCAGTTTCAATCGTTGCCTAATAATATAACAGTTCTACAACCAGAATTTTCATGGGGTGATATACGATGTGGATCACCAACTTATGAGTCTGAAGTCGGTGATTATTATTCTGATGATTCATACAGTGATGATGGATTTGTTGAATCATCTGATGAAAGTGATAATGAAAATCGTGGGTTGAGAATATCATATACTGGTGATAATACAGCAGAAGCTGTTGAGGATGAATCTAAAATATCAAAACAAGAAATTAATAAAAAAATATTAGATCTTTTCAAAAATGATAAAAATATAGAGAATATATTTTTACCTTATAGCGAAAATAATTATAAAAATTCAGAATTGAAACTACATGAAAGTAAACATTATGAGTTTGCAAAGAAACGTGAAAATGAAATAATCACGAGTGATTTATTTATACCAAGTAATCAAGAAATATCATTTAACACTAAAAAAACATGTGTAAATAATATTGATGATACTCATAAGCCGTCACATTTGTCTCCAGCTACCAGAGAATACGTAAAAAAAGTAGGAGAATTACTAAAAAAAGATATTTCACTTGAGAAATCGTCGAGTTATAATAAAAATGGTTGTAATGACATTCAAACACCTACACTTGTTGATAAAAATGATTCAACATTCAGTTTTGATCACCAGCCAGAACTACGAGGCAGTCCTGGTCCTAGTCCTAACTTAATTTTACAAGCATTGACAATGTCTAATGCAAATGATGGAATTAATTTAGAACGTTTAGAAACAATAGGCGACTCGTTTCTAAAATATGCCATTACAACATATTTATATTGTACATATGACGTAATACATGAAGGTAAATTAAGTCATTTACGCTCTAAACAAGTAAGCAATTTAAATTTGTACAGATTAGGTAGACAAAAAATGCTCGGAGAAAGTATGATAGCGACTAAATTTGAACCGCATGACAATTGGTTGCCTCCTTGTTATTATGTTCCAAGAGAACTTGAGCAAGTTTTTATAAAATCAGGCGTACCATCAAGTCTTTGGAATCAAGCTGATATTCCATTACTTCAAATGATAAATCGTAATGAAATGTCGCAATTGATTAAAGAAACCGAGTACAAACTTGATTTAATGAGAATTGAATTGGATCGAAATGAAAGCCGTGAGACTGATGAATTTGATAGTTTGCAATGTTCTATACCTTATAATTTAATTACTCAGCATAGTATTCCAGATAAAAGTATAGCCGATTGTGTGGAAGCGCTTATTGGAGCTTATCTAATAGCGTGTGGTCCTAGAGGAGCTCTTTTATTTATGGAATGGTTAGGAATCCACGTTTTACCAGCGACTAAAGTTATTTACCCGAACAAGTATGATAAACCTCTAGATAAGTATCCGGGTAGCAGTCCATATGTTAAGAAAATTCATGAAAATGGCCAAACCATTTGGACGCAAACTCGATGGGGAAAACTGGAAGAACCACGAAATCCTCTGTTGAGACATGTAGTTGATCCAGAAAGAGAATTAAGTATAATGTTAGATGGTTATGATTGTTTAGAAGAGAGTATAAATTATAAATTTATAGATGTCAGTTATCTTCTTCAAGCATTTACGCATGCTTCTTATCAACCTAATAAATTAACTGATTGTTATCAACGGCTTGAATTTCTGGGTGATGCTGTTTTAGACTATTTAATAACTAGACATTTATATGAGGATTCGAGACAGCATTCACCAGGTGCATTAACTGATTTAAGATCAGCACTAGTTAATAATACAATATTTGCATCATTAGCTGTTAGGTGTGGATTTCATAAATATTTTAGGCATCTTTCACCAGGATTAAATGTTGTAATTGATCAGTTTGTAAGAATTCAAGAAGAAAACGGACATTCTATTAGTGAAGAGGTAAATTAAAAAATATAATACATTTTTTTTTTAATTGAAATTAATTATTTTCTTTTATAATTTCAGTACTATTTAATCGGAGAAGAAGATAGTGAAGAGGCCGAAGATATTGAAGTGCCAAAAGCATTAGGAGATGTTTTTGAATCATTAGCTGGTGCAATTTATCTTGATAGTGGAATGTCACTTGATGCTGTTTGGAATGTTTATTACAGAATAATGAAGTCGGAAATAGGTAAAAAATATTTTTATGAGTGAATTTTTCTTTTATTATCATTACTCAAGTCACTTAATACATTTTTTTTTATTTGTTTTAGAGCAATTTAGTACGAATGTTCCCAAATCACCAATCCGTGAATTATTAGAATTAGAGCCGGAAACTGCGAAATTTGGCAAGCCAGAAAAATTAACTGATGGTCGTAGAGTACGAGTGACAGTTGATGTTTTTGGCAAAGGTTCATTCAAGGGTATAGGTAGAAATTATAGAATTGCAAAATGTACAGCAGCAAAGTGTGCATTAAAGAAATTAAAAAAAACGCAATCTTCCCATCGACAAAAGATATAATATTTTTTATTAAAGACATTTCAATGAATGCATTAGAATTACATTTTTTTTTTTTTATTTATATTCATATATTCATTATTAAATTTTAATACTTAACAAAAAAAAATGTTTCCATTATACAATGTTGGTGTTATTCAACTGATCAATTTTGATCAATCAGATCATTTTTTATTGTCTTTTACCTCAAAAATGATCACTTCGAAGTTAAACGAATCAAAATGAGGTCTATCACGATTATTTTGTGATTTTTTTTTTGTTAAACCAATTTACTTTCTACTAATTTAAAATAATCAAACGAAAAAATTTTAATAAATATTTTTGAAGTTCAAAAATAAAAAAATCAAAAAAATTATCCTATGAAAAACGAAACTACTTTATTTTTGAGTACCGCCGAATGTCTAATATTCAAATATTTCATTCACGCGCCTGTTATAACGTTCCTAATTCAATGGAAAAAAACGTTAAGTAGAGACTTCTAAAGGTCTTTTTCAAGTATGAGATTACATATTTGGGAAAAGTGGAAAAATATGACAGCTTGACCAGTTAACAATATACACTTTATATGTACTTTAATACCCCGGGCGAAAGAACTACAGTAAGTAAAGTTTTCAATAAATAAAAATAACATCCACTAGATGGAAGCATAACAGTATCCTGTGATGCACCCAGTGCATCCAACAGGTGACGCTACCTGTTATTAGAGCGCTATCTATTATGAGAGCGCGAATTCAAACGAAATATTGAAACTAGTAAATATTAAATGATTAAAATTAGTTAAATTTTATATTCGAAGTAAATATTCCAGTCCTTTATTTAATGCTTTTACTCTTACCAGTTGTAAAATAAACATCTTTTGGTTAACTCTGTTTTATTTACAAAAGAAAATAAAATAAAAAAAAACATATTTCGGTACAAAGGTACATTGTAACCGAATTTTCAAAACCCATAAAAAGTACTTGAGTAATTCAAGGACTCTCGCCAGATGAAACTTAAAACCCTATGAGGAAAAGTCGTAAAAGACACGTGTGAAATCAATAGACCCTTGTTCTAAAGTAACAAAGAATAATAAAAAAAAAACATATGTAACTAAACAAAAATAATATTGTTAAATAACATTTACTGTTAAAATCTAACTTTATATAATATTGTAGTTAAGCAAAATTGAGTTAAAATAATTAATAATTAGTATCTTATATTTAATTTATAACTAATAATTATTAGTTAACTAATTTACTATTAAATCATTATCTAATTATTATTTAATTTATAATTAAATAATAATATCTATTCTTTTATACAGGATAATAATTAAACTGACTTATAATTTTATTAGAAAACTCGAATGTAAAATGATAGAAATAATATTTAATCCAAATTATTAATTATTCAAACTCAAACATTAGTCCAACATATTATAAATAATATAATATATATAGGTATATATAAGTGAAGGCCAACTTTCAGGCCGATCGGCTGAAGTAAATATATATAGATATAGAGAAAATACATGTTAGTGTATAAGGATCATTTATATGTAGTAGAAAATGTATGTATTTATATATTCCTTAGAGTGGATGTATGTGTGGAAGTTATGGTGGGAGAAGAACGGAGTTTGAAGATCTTCGGAAAAACTATGTAACGACACTTCTCATCGAGAGATTAGATTGCTAAGATCACGTCATTGTAAACCTCAATTTTATATTTTGAAGCTTTTAATATTTTGTCAACTCGAATAATAAATTGAAACCAACTAAATAATTTTGATCAAAATTAAATTACGTCTAAATAGAATTCTTTTATTTAAAATTATTCCTTTCCCGCACTGAAACCGAGTATTTTAATACTCCCGGGCGAAAGAACTACAGTAAGTAAAGTTTTAAATAAATAAAAATAACATCCACTAGATGGAAGCATAACAATCCCCCAAAACATTCCCAAAGTTTGCAAAATATCCCTAAATTTAGGGGAAAATCCACTAAGTTGGCATCACTGAGAGAGCCATCCTTTTTGTGCTCGGTTAGTGTCTTACGGAAAATATGAGACACAACTAAGAAACTTAAGAAAAATTTTAGTGTACACTAATTTTTCTGAGTGCAACCTAGTGCAACCCTCAGTTACTCTATTAGAGGGGTGTGCAGTCCGTGTTTATCGTGTTTACGTGTTTACAACCCACAACCCATGATCACAAAAACAGAGGGACAACGGAAAAAAAAATTAAGAAAATATAAAGAATTATAGTGACTGTTTGGTGTTACAGTTTATTAAATAGCATCTGATATATTCAATTGCATCATTATTATTTATATTTTATATAATTAAATTAAATTCATACTTTAAATATCCATATTTTATTATTCATTCGATGAAAATTAGTCAGTGATAAAAATAAGTAGGATAACACAATATAATAAAAATGTGTCAGTTGCATACGAGACAATGTTTTAGTAATCAACTAAAAATGCCGCGGACAAATTTTTATTATTATATTTTTTTATCGTTCAGTATTTATGCTTGTAAATTAAATAAAATTTCCTTTTAAAATACATCGTTATATTAGATATAAATAAATTATAAATTGGATTTAAATAGTTTTTATATGAATTCACTTTTGGAGTATATTAGTGATTGATTTTATTATAAAATCAAATAGATTGTTTATCAGCAATATTTTCAACACTAATTTATTAATCGTATTATTTTAAATAAACTTCCCGTAATTAATTATTTCAATAAAAATATGACACTGATAAGTGACTGTTGATTAAAGTTGTAGGTTTATAAAATTCATAATTGTATATTATACTACACATATCGGTATCAACATATGTGATTTGATTACTAAGCATTTGGAGTGCATCATAAGGAAATTATATTTTGATGAGGATATTGAACTTCAATCACAGGATGGTGATTCGGTAAATAAGCTATAGTATGCTTCTTTTTAGTGTTGTTGTTATTAAGGTCTTACAAATAATACGAATTTTTTAATAGATCTGACGGAGATGGTACTGAAAGTCCACTGCTTGAAGAAGAAACAAATTCAGTTGATTCACCTTTAAGTCCAAATAGTAAACATAACCATACTCGTCCCTACATAAATCCTCATGGAAGCCATACTCATCATGATAAAACTAAAGCTCCAACTAAATACGGAGAATTAGTTATTTTAGGGTAATGTATTTTATATAAAAAAAAAAAACAAATTTGTTCGCTTTTAAGGTTAATTTTTTTGATAAATCGGACAATGAACTAAATCAGTCCATTTGTTGTGAAGGTTTGAAATTTTTTTTAACTCTTCAACATTGTAATTTTATGATTTGTTTCTGAATTCCTTTTTAACGAATAGTAATTAATCGATTTATATTGATGTGTGGATAACTTTTCTTAAGAAAAAAAAAAAAAAAAAAAAAAAAAAAAACAAAACAAAACAAAACAATGTTAGTAACTATAATAAAAAATTAACACCTGTACGCATCGTTTTTCTAAGCCATTATATTGAATTACGGGATTGGCGATACAGTTAATTTATTATTAAACCTCAATCTCAAAAATGTCACTTCAATGGACGTGTGCATTTTGCCTTGGTTAGTATAAACAGTACTAAAAGCTTAAATTGGAATGATCCGTTATTGTTTTTCGTTGAGATATGCTTCTACTATTTTTATCAATTTTAACATCCAGAAATGAAAATTCCCTTGATAAAGATTTTGATTGATTTTCCAATTTATTTAAAAATTTTGTTATAAGTATACTCTTAGTGCTATTTTTTATTTGAATATTCTTCTCTTATTTGTACAATAGCATCCTTATATTATTTTAGTTGGTTGTGTTGTGAAAGAGTCTCTGCAAAAAAAGGCTCTCCTGTTTCAAAACACAGTAACGTCAAAATTTTTTGAGCTATTTTCAACTTTCCGCGGTGAAAGTCAATAATTTTCGAAAATCGAGTTTTCATCAGATCTTCATGTTTGGAGGTCTTAAATTATTGAAACGCATGACCGATCGAAATGAAGTATGTGGCGTTCGAAAGGGTTCTACTGTCTTTAGATTTTATGAGAATTTGAATCAATTCGGTCTTGATGTAGATTTGGTGACACCTTAAAAAGAAAATTAATTCAATTTTTTCAAAATAACTCATAAACTGTTGTATTGATCATTTTCAAAATTTAATCAGCGTTTAACTTCAAAAAACAATGATGAGTGTTGTTAACCGCATTAAAATCGGTTCATCCGTTCGGGAGATATCGCAATTTAAAATTTTCGAAAAAATGTTTCATCATTAAAACTTCTGAATTTTGTATTATTGTTGAATTTGTGAGCTCAAAGAAGGTAATACTTCATAATGAATTTTCAATTACGCTTCGATTAACCATTTTTCAGATTTTTTTTTCACAATTATATACTATAAGTAAACAATCTGATGTACTTGTTTCTTAAAAACCTATTGATCTGTACCTCCTCTATCTAAATCGAATTTATTATCAATTTACACAGAAAGAACAAGATTACACTGGATAACATTCCAGATTATGCTCAGTGACATCGGTAGTAAAAAGAAATTTCAGATAGTAGCTAGTATAATCCAGATTATACTCAGTGATATCTGTATTATACTCATTGTAATCTCCCATTTCCTCCAGTAAAATCTCAGATTATACCCTGTAAGATCCCACTGGACATAATCCGAGATTTTATCCTGTAGAACTTAGACTAGACTCAGTAGAATCTTCGATTATACCCAGTGATATCTGCGCCATTTTCTTTCTAGCGTTTTTTTTATTTAAAAATAGGTCATTGTAAATATGTCTCTAGAAATTTGATTTAAAAATTTTTTTTATATAAACTCTTATGAAGCTTCCAATGTAGTTGGTCAAAAAAATGGGCCCTTGACTGAGTGAACTTAAACGTAAGGCTATCCGTAAAATGGTTCGCTCAGGCATGGGTTAGATCTGGCAGCTGTTTTGTTTTCTTTAATTATTTCCAGGGGTCGTTTCTTCAGCCGGCTGTAACCTGATCACGTTTTCTGTGACTTTTCTGATCACTGTGGTAAGGGGTGGGATACAGACAAATGCGGGTACAGTAAAATATTGTAAGTCGTTTGTAGATGCACGGAAATAGATAGGAATAAAAAAAAGAAGAGGACGTAAGAAAAAAAAATCTGGAAATCGGTTGACCGCGCAGGCCAACCCTAGAACTTCCCGCTAAGTTTGAATTTGAAAGGCCTTAAAATGTGTTTTTCGGTTAATATTTGAGCTTTTCAAGCTCAAAGCACAGTTTTGCACTTTTTGAGCTCAAAATGTATTTATTAAACAACTATAACTTTTGAATGCGTCGTTCGATTTTTATTTTCGAAAATGCATTCGACGCAGAATGTTAAGCATAAAAAATGTATACATTTAAATTATGATTATGGTTTAATTATGATTTTTGGTTTTTAAACTTTCCGCTAAGAAAATTGAAAATTTTCAAAAATCGAGACGTTATTGGTTTCACCCCGATTTTCGAAAATTGAGTTTTCATCGGATCTCCACGTTTTGAGGTCCTAGAAAGCAATTCTGACCATTTTCCTAAGGATGTCACTGTGTGTGTGTGTGTGTGTGTGTGTGTGTGTGATTTTCATTTTTGAAAATGCATTCGACGCAGTTTTTATTAAAGCACAAAAAGAAAACGTACAGGTTTATTTTAATTGGTTGAGAAATCTCGAAGATATCTTGAAAAAAATAAGGATGACGGTTGACCCTAAAGGCCATCCCTGCAACTTCCCGCTCATTTTGTACTTAAACGCTTCAAACTACACATTACGTTTTTGAGCTTTAAACTCTAATAGCAGTTTAAAGACACAATTTTTTGAATTTTCAAACGGCAATAACTTTTGAATGAATGAACCGATTTTCACGCGGTTGGCGGCAATCGACGCAGTTTTTGAAGCTTCATGAAAAATTTTCAAGTTTAAATTGATCGAGCCATGAATTTCGAAGTTATTACAAAAAAACACTTTTTTCGATTTTTTTCGACAACTATATCTCACGAACGGATCAACCGATTCTGACGTTTTTGGTGGCGATCGATGGGGGTTTTCAAGGTTAAGAGCTGATTAGTTTTTGAGACCGATCGGTTCAGCCAATTCGGAGATACTTAAAAAAAATTAAAAAAAAAACAACTTTTTTTTTACACTTTTTTTGCATTTTCTCGAAATCTACCGGTCCGAATTGGTTCCAACTCTCAGGAAATCTAAGTTTGGCGAAGCCCTTTCGAATGACACCGACCGCGATGAAATCGGTCAAGTCGTTCAAAAGTTACAAGAGGTTTACATACACGCACGCACGCACGCACGCACGCACGCACGCACGCACGCACGCACGCACGCACGCACGCACGCACGCACACACACGCACACACACACACACACACACACACACACACACACACACACACACACAGGCGTGTGTGGAAGAAGCGTCATTCCGACCGAGCAATCTCCACGTGGTACACTTTGGGTAATGCTAATGCCGGCGATAACACAGCAGTAAAAAAAAATCAAAAAAATTTCGAAAAATAATGAAAATTTTTTTTCTTTAATTTTTTTACAAGATCGATCTTTTTGATCAAAGAAATAAAGATTATCGAGAAAAAAAAATTTTTTTATTGAAAAAATAAATAAAAATAAAAAAATTGCTTATAATGGTGATTTTCGAGAAAACATTGAATTTGAAGTTTTGGGGCACTAAGAAAAAAAATTGCAGTGCTTTGAATTTTTCAGAGATTTTTTGAGACACTTTGAGGTTGAAAAATTACTGACGATATCCTTCGTTCATTTATTTTATCCAAAGTTATATCAAGTTATCCAAATATCCTTAATTATGCGAATTTTCATCTTTTTTTCAGTTAAAGTTTTCGCTTCGAAAAAAATTTTTTCGTCAAAAACCATTCACGGTATCTCATAGAGAATGTTGTGGATTTTTTAAAACGCTCCGTTGATTTTCTATACGATCATTATTCCCAGAGTTATTGATTATTAAAGTTAAAAAAAACTTTTTTGCTTTGATTGACGATAACTCCGCGGTTAATCATCATATAGGCTTTTTGATTACGTCAAATTAAAGGAAATTAAATTTTCTAAAAGACCTTTTGCGTGAAATGATGGAAAAAATTTTTTTGAAGCCCGTAGATCTTTTTTTTAGACGAGAAAAAATTTGGAAATTTTTTTTTTGTAGTTTCCTCATTAGGATTGCTCCAGACCCAAACATAATAAAAAATTTTCATGGTCATAACTGAAAACTAGATACTTGGAGCTCCAATTTGAATTGAATTGAATTGAATTTAATTTATTGATTTATCCCAAAGCCTTCACTGGCCAGATGGCAAAAGAAAAATATACATTTTGTGAATATAATACATATTTAAATTTTTAATTTAAACATAATTATTAGAACTTATATATAATTAAACATAATAAAATATGAGTAATAGTAATATTGCTTTTATACTAATTTTGAAGAAACAGTTTAAGTGAAAATTATAACTAATAGTTTACAACATTTATAATTATGATTTTAAAGATTTTAATTTGCTTTTTTTTTTTTACTGTACGATCATTTTCCTTGGAGTTACAGCTCGTTGAAAATCACCCAAAAATTTAGAATTTTTTTTATATCCCTTAATTTTTGCTACTAGTGTATAATGCGTTTTTAAAATTTTTTTCTTCTTTTTCTGCTTGAGCTTAATTTTTTGCACGTCTGATTTGCGTATTCGTTTTTTTTTGTTACTGGTACTGGTTGGGATGCTTTTAGTATTAGTGATGGTTCCACATTGTCAATTTTGAGCACTCTTAAGCAAGCCTTCGCTTCCTACTTCATTATGCGTTTGATCACGTTCTTGAACTAGAGTTTTCTTCTGTTTTCGATGATTGAAAGCTTCATAACTAGGTGATACACTCTGTCTTAGACTTGCTCCTTGGAATATTCTATCAAGTTAGCTTCCATCAAAGGTGTTTCACAGGAGCCTGTTGCGATCTTCAGCTGGATGTCCGATTGTATCTTTTTCGCTGCATCTTACACTGATAGAAAAACAATCTTGATTCAAGAAACTTTTTTTCTTCAAAACTTGAACTCTTGAAACTAGATATAGATATATTTCTTTCAAGAATTTTTGTCTCTTGGTTCAAGATAGGCGATAACATTGATTCAAGATGTTACCGACTTGTGTTAAGAATGGCTTTTTTTTGAGTCATTAATTAATTTACTTGTTTCTAAGAAATAATTTTTTTTTGGTATAACAATTAAAGACTATTCAGTTTTTGAATTATACTTTGATGAATTATTTTAAGTTTTTTAAACGATAATGTTATTTTGATTGAAAAACTTAAATGTATCGATTTAAGATAATATAGCTCTTAAGCCAAGAAAATCGAAATCAAGACAAGAAATTCTTAGAGCAAGATAATCATTTGTCTTCCAAAATAAATTCTTAGATCAAGAAAATATCTCTTGAGTCAACATAAATTTTCTATCAGTGTATCCGTTGAATCCACCTCTATTGATGTTGTTAGTGAGAGTTTTTCAACATGCGCTGTCTTATTCTTTGGTAGTGATTTAGGTCTTGATGAGTTGGATGACTGCTGTTTCCAACCCAAAGTGCGGTCATATTCTTACTTTTCTTTGGAATTCTTAATAGTTACAAAATAAAAATCTGTAAGAATTATTGATTTTTTTGAAAACTAAAAAAGTATGTTAGCTATTAAGATGATAAATCAATTAATGATACGTACGATTGGATTACACCGACTAACAATTTATAATAATAAACAATTTTTTTTTTTCAGATATAATGGATTTTTACCTCCTGGGGATCGTGGGAGACGTAGGAGTAAATTTGTGTTATGCAAACGACCAGTTGCAAACGGAGTAAAACGTAGTAAACATTATGTAGTGAAAACTCCTCACAATTCTCAAGCCGTACTCAATGTTAAGCAGCATTCGATTTCGTACACTCTTTCTCGAACGCAGGCTGTTATTGTTGAATATACCGAAGATGATACAACAGATATGTTTCAGGTTTGTTATAATATAATTTTTATATATTTGGTTTGTTCAATATAACTTATATATATATTGGTGGTCGTTTCTAAGTTGATTGTTAAGCTTCATAAAACTGGGCGACACATTCAACTCTGTTATTTTTTTATGGATACTATTCAAACATGAGAAGTTAAAAAAAAAAAATTGAAAAATACACGTTCAAAAAATTGTTTTAAATTCTCAATTGCATATTGTAAAAGTGCAAATTTTTTTTGGTGTTTAACTAAGCTCAATTATGTTAATTCTACTTACTTTTAATTACAAGGCCAAGCAGCGATACTATACATAGGAAATAGGGATCCACTTAATTTTTTTAAGTGAGAAAAATTAAGGAAAATGAAACTTTTTATAAGCAGGACAGATGAAGGTTTAAATAAAAGTTTCATAATGAGAGTGTTGTGCGGAAAAGGTTGTCATAATGGATAGTGAGTGTTGTCAATTAGAGTTTTTTAGTTGGTAAAATAAAATATAATTATACTAAGACAGATACTTCAGCTTACGGATGTAACAAATAATATAACAAATGTTGAGAAAATTTGAATGTATTAGGATCGATCCGATTCTTAGGAATTGAAAAATAATTAAATACATATATGGAAAACAGTTTATTAGTATAATTGATAAATTTACACGTTTATATATTACAAAAATTTTTATGAATTATACGAAAAATTAATTTCGCAAAATTGAATACTTACTGTCAAATTATGTTTGTAGACTTATAAAATTGCTAAAAATGATATTGTTGATGCTGGGACAATTCCGGAATGATACAGTTCGTAAAAGTGATGAATAAACCCTTCATACTGTTAGATGGCAATTTTTATTTAATTTATAAATTCTAAAACATGAGATTTGAAAAATTCTATGCATTCCAGGTTGACAGTATTAGTAACTTTATTCGTCAATGTTAGAAATACTTTCTTTCTAGATTGGTCGATCATCGGAGCCACCAATAGATTTTGTTGTCATGGATACTTACCCAGCTACTGAAACTGGCCCGAGTATTGAAAGTCGGATAGCTCAAAGTACAATAAGTAGATTTGCTTGTCGTATACTAACTGATCGGGGAAATCCAGCAATCACAAGAATTTATGCAGCTGGTTTTGATAGTTCTAGGAATATTTTTCTTGGGGTATGTATTTGTTATAAAAAAACAAAAAAAATACAATTTAAAAAAATATTACAAAACCAAAACCTTTGTTTACGAACTTTTAACAATTTTTAAAAATTATTTTTATTTATTAAATTTTAATGTAGAGTCCACATAACAATCCTTTACCAGACATGCGCAAAACTGCTCTAAAGTTCGATAGTTGCTGACGTCAAATTCTACCTATGGGTCTTGCTGCAAATACTTATGACAAATTTAAATCACAAGCATCTGCTGCGAGTTTCTGGTAGAAGAAATGCGTTAAAAACGAACAAACTATTTTATAATGAGCAATTTATACGCAATTCTTGAGTAAGTTTCTTGCAAGACTCAATCTTGTGCAAGGCACATACTTAGATAAAGACGCTAAAAACTAATGGTTTTGCACAAGGCTTTACAACAGGAATCTTGCTCAAACACGTGTTCCTTGGGAGGTTAAAAAGCTAAAAACAATTTCTTATTTGATCCATTATTTTATCACAAATTTTATGAGTGCTAGGCAATACACTTTCGAATTATCCAAATTTTTTGTTGTTTTTGTAAATTTACTTAAGGGGGTATTCTGGTCTAGAAATTTGAAAAATTCGAATTATTTTTTTTCGCATATCTGCAAAGTTTAGACCCTTAAAAATATGTCCTTGAGTGGATTTTTAAAAATCCGAATTATTTTCGGAGATACCGAGGATTTTGTGACGCAGCTGCTTCTGCTTCTGCTTCTTCAATAGAAGGCAGAACAGCTCGATTAGCAGAAAGAACTTCGCAAAACATCGAGTAGGAAGTAGAAGAAGGCTCAATTTACGGATCTGGGATTCGCGATTAATCCAAAGTGAATATTAAATATTATTATGAGTTATTTTACTGAAATCGTTTCTAAAACTTTAAACGCGATTCTCTCGAAACTACTTTTTTTAAAGTGATTGACATGATATCTTAAGTTCTACCCCACCGATTCCTTTGAAATTTAGTGGGAATTTGTTTTATATATCTCTCTATCGCGTCAGCTATGGATTTCAAAAAATTTCAATTTAAAGTATTTTTAAAAAATTCGAAAAGGTCATAAAAAAAGGTAAAAAAAAA